GAAATGTAGGAAAACTGTTCTCTGGGGCTTTCTTCTTGGCTCTCTGTCTCTTATTTTCTGCAACAGGAGAAAGCTCTTTCCGGACTTCCATTCTGCTTAAGAAGTAAAGGGATAATAGCAGTGCATTCTCACAGGGCAAGGAGAACTGTGTTCAAGAGATATGGGAAGGATTTGTGTATCGTGACAGGGAAGTGGAGGAGAATGATGTCAGCTGCTCTGTGGGAAAAGAAGGCTGGGAAAGAAGAAAAAGAGAGATATTCCTCTCCATAGACCCCTGCTTCTGCCCCCAGACCCTGGAACAGTACTGAACATTTCTGATACCAGTTCCTTCTTGGGGACACCTGGCATTCCTTCCCAAGTGACTCCCAAACTCTTTATTTTTCTTTTTCTGCTGATCTGTGGCAGATGTGTGTCACCTCACTAACGGATTGCAGAGACTGAGAATGAAGATAATACTCAGGGATACCTTTGGGCAGAAACCAGGAGACAGAGAGGAGTCAGTCAAAGCAGACATCACCACTGTGAAAGGGAGTCCTAACCAAGACCCAACATCATCACCTTATGTGCCAATATAACCAAAGCAGCTTGAACTATGGGTTCATCACATCTGAACTTGGATAGCTGTTGTATAATAATAATAATGGCCAGTCTTCGCGAGCGAAGATCCGGGGAAGGTCTTTCCACCTTTCAGCCTGCGCATTGGATTTTTTTTTAGGTGAGACACAGTGTGCGCGGAACTGAGCCCACCCTTTAATCCTAAGGTTCGTCTGCCGGGGCCAAGCGAGCTTGGACAGTGGCAGTGAGGTCCTTAGGACGTAGGTGGGTTGCCTTTAAGGGCTAACGAGCCCCACCTGCCCGGGAGTGGCCCTGACCGGGAATCGAACCCGGGTCTCCGCGGTGACAGCGCGGCGCCTTTACCACTGGACCACCAGGGGCTCCAGTTGTATAAGAACCTTCTAATTAAACAAGAGATGGAGAGTGTAATAAACAATTTAATGAGTAGGTGTCACTCTTTACTCTGAACCACTCTTGAACCGTGACCCAAAAAGCATGGAAGTGTTACGTAGTAAAATAAGTGGGACATGTTTGCTGGCAGTGCACTTCACAGCATTGCATCTCTATTGGGAAACATATTGCACCTGTATACAGACCTCTCAGTAAAGCTGGCTCCTTTGTTACTAAATGTGGCTCATGTTGTCATCTCACATGCTTAGAAGAGAACTGGCTGGACTGGGTCAAACTCTGCATACCTGGTTTTCTCACTATAAACAGAGAAACGGGAACAATGAATTCTTTTCACAAATCAGATGAATAATTAAGATGCTCCCTCTTAATGCACTGTCTTCTTATAAAATGCCTAAACTGAGTCTTTTTCCCTTTTAATCTGGCTTTCCTAATTTCCTGCAACAAAGTGTATGTATTCTATATAAGCATGGAAAAATATGTTCCTCTACTGCTTGGTCTCCTTCCAGTTACCTTCTTTCTCTTCCCTTCAGTTCATATTTTATCCTTTCCAGGGAGACAGAGAACCTGATTCTGGTAAAGACAGGCCCTGAGAAACCACCTTGGGTTTCCTCAACAGAGCAACAGTATCACCATCTCTGCCCCTGGCTCTGCCTCCCCCTCACCCCCAGCCACCAGCACATAAATGTTATTTAAAGCTGCTCCTCCGCACCTACTTGTTCTTGTGCCAGCAAAGATAAAAGGAACCCAAGGACCGAGAGCTGAATGTGCGTTTATACAGAAGGCAACAAGTGACTAGTGAATGCATGAATAGACCTCTACGGATACAAGGGAGGAATATTTTATGAAATATACCTATTTGTCCCTGGTATCCTTTTATTATCTTTAGTACAAATATGAGATATATTCCTTATTTATTACTAGGAAGCAAATCCTGCATTTACATTGGTTGTGCTGGTAACAGCACTGGAAATTCAAGACCTGCTCACAACATGTAGAAGTGGTAACTGTAAGTTTAGTGATTTTGGGTGGTTTAAGAAGTACGAAAGTAATCACACATCATTAGGGAAATACTATGCCAAAAAAAGATGCAGAAACAGATTTACTTCAGAATATGAAGGGTTCCTTTGAAAAAGAAAATACTAATGCTAATGTAAGGTTAGAATACAAGGTTCCTATTCTGAAACAGAAAACCTATGATAAGAGGCAGCCCTGAATGCAAAGCCAACAAAGTAATAATAGTGTGCTGAACTCAATTGTATCATTGTGCTGTTCAGTTCCTCCAAAATTTCACCTAACATAATCTCAACAAAGAACTTGTTTGCCTCATTTCCCAGAAAAACAAACTGACCCTCCAAAATATTATTCCAATGTGCAAAATTCAGTTTGAATAATTTTTACTGTCAATATAGTATTGTGTGTGTCAGTCAGTGTAGCACTCTGGCTCACAACCCTGTACAGAAAACTGTAAACAGAAGAAAAAGCCAGGGGTAAAAAAAACATAAATCAAACCATTTCAGGTATGGTTCCATAATGTGTGGGTTTCATTGTCAGCCAAATATGTGGAGAGCAGTTTCTTATGTAAATTGGGAAATAGTTACATCTGCCACTAGTCCTATCAGGCAAAACTTTCTCAGCATAGGCAGGCAGGGTTCACTGCTTAACCACAGCGATGTCAGGTCTATTGCCTACTCAAAATCAATGAGCACGCTTTCAGAAATAAGCAATGCACTTGCACAAACCCACCAAATAACTGTAATCTGAGAAGTTCAGACCAAAACCTCTCGCTGCTCCTGAATCACATCCAAAATGTATCACCTTGATCCAGTCTGTGAAATGCAGACATTCTTTAATAGCAATCCTTTCGAATTCCTCTCTGAAAGTAATAACTACATCTTACCCAGGAGCTATGCAAAGAAAGATACTTTGCAAATATTCCTGCTTTTCCTTGCTCTTCAGTTGTTCTATGATACTGTTAGGCTGTAGAGGAAAATGTATCATATTTGCAGACAAATAGTTATTTTTCCTAGTGAGAAGTCGCTTCCTTCATCAATATATATGTTAAATATATGTTGAATATATAAACATATGCAGAGTGTTTGGATACAGTATTAAGATTAAGCACAGAAGATAACAATAGATCAGGAGATTGCCTCAAATGGACTTTAAGACTGCATTATCCAGGGCCAGCAGTTCCAAGAGTATGAATCTGCACTGCCCTGGCTGCTGGACATACAGACCCTCAGCTGACACCCTGTGTATGTGGGTCTTGGCTCCTCTCTCTTCAGCTGTATTTGCCTATATTTGTTCGTGTTTTGGTGGGTGAGTCTCATTGGACCATGTGTGCTGCATGGCCACACGACACCCAAAGCCTACACAAAAAAAAATGCAAGGAGCTAGAGGTGTCCCTAGGGCATGGAGCTGTGTTCCTTAGGGACAGGGTGCTCTCAGGCCACTGAAAGCCAAATGTGAAATGACATCTTCAGCAGTCAGTGTGAGTTAGTGCTGAGGATCTACAGAGCGCTAAGATGATCACATAGACAACACTTTGTGTTCCAGACACACACTGATAGAAATGAACCCAGTGCCAGGGTAGAGAATGAAGGTTTTCGGACACTCAGAACACCGCTCATGTATTATTTCATAATAATTTAAAAAAATTTTACTAGAGAAAACTAGACCATTATACATTGATGTGAACAGAAAGTTTGAGCTTGACCTTTGGCCACTGCCCTTCCTCCCACACAGTAAACCTGTGAGAGGAAAAAGAGTACAAGTAGAGTTTGTCTGGAGGTTGTTAAGCTCAACACTCCCTTCAGACAACTGCTGCTCTAGACTGAACAGGATGCTGAAAAAAACATCCCAGAGATTATGTGACAGCAAATGGCTCTTTGGAGGCCGGACTACAGGTGGTGCCGAGTGCTCACTGGGCACAGCCAGGTATCAAGCAGCCTCTTACTCTTCCTTGTGCATCTCCATTCAGGGCCCTCTCTAGAAAAGCAGATACTTTATCCAGTGAGCTGCACAGTGTTTCCTAACCATCTGTGGAGAATCTGCAGGTGTTAAATTAGCTGCAGGAGGATGTCCATATGTTTCCTGCATGCACTAGACACACATTGAGAATTATAACCAAAAATGAAGCCATTGCAGATTGTACACAGTTAAGACTAAAGGGCTCAAGCCAAGATCTTTAAGTAAAATTGCACACAGATGAGATGCAATTTACTGTGATTTGCTGCTTCTGACTAAACAAAGAGAAGAAACACATCCTTCATTTCCTAATGCAGTTTTTTGGGCTTATATGGGAGATGGTTCCCTGAGATGCTGAGTGGTCCCAAACTGCTGGCAATGGGACTTTGGGCTGCTCAGCACTCACCTAGGATCAAGCCTTTGCAGTCATTGCATACAACATATTTTTGCAATTGGTCAATTTACTTATGATTTATATGCTTGTATTGTATATGTCAGAGTCAGCAATTACCCTGCAGCTACTCATGGGAGTTATTTATTATTATGGTTTACAAAGAGCAAAAAAGCAACAGGTACCTTCTCTGTCTTGATCTGAAGGCAATTGGAGAATTTAACAGATCTTGTCTATTTGGTGTAAAGCAGTTGAAAAATGGATAAAAAATGAAAAAGGATTGAGTTTCTAGGATAAGCACATACAAATACCTGTACTCATACTTTTTTCTGTAGGCATAGGCACAGAGTAACCATCTCACAGTTCTCAGAATCCTGAATACAGGTCTGTACATTTGTCTGGGAAAACTGCCATTTTCGTACTTTTTACAAGCCAACATGTATTAATCCAGGTTTTGTGATCATAAATTAAGATTAAGCAAATATCTACACAGATCTATGTGTCAGGCAACTATTCCTTCAAGATCTCCCCCCTCCACCAAATGGTAGAGCTGTGTGTAGAAAAGACCTGCAAGGCTTAACAGAGCTTTCTATATGTGAGCAGGAGTTCACATTTCTCCAAAACCGTTAAGAAAGAAATCAAGCTATTACTCATAAGCATTTTTCTCTGTGCACAGAAAAAATGTAATTGATCCAGAGGATCCGAGGTGCGCCAGGCTGACTCTCATGGGACAGATGGTTATGGTGCCTCCGGAGGAAGTGGAATTTGCCAAGCAAGCAGTGTTTTCCAGGTCTGTATCTAACAGGCACACAGTAGAATGCAACCCACAGGTTTGAGACAAATATACAAATGTGGTGCAGAAAACCTGAGAAGTAACAAGCCTGATCTTTGGGCCCACAAAGCATGTTGGCTCCTGTGTGGTTTGGAATAACAGACCTCCTTTTAACTCTTGAGGAAACAAAACATGGAAATGCAATTAGTTAGTGTTGGACTCTCATATGGCGTGTAGTTTATAATCTGGGGATTATGAAAATATTTCACCTGGTTGCAAGGAGACATTCCATAAATCCAGGGTGTATTTGTTACCTTCAATGATTCTACCCCACTTTAGGACAGGTAGTGCTCTTCAGCTGCGGCGTCCTACTCAGGGATAGAGCAGAGCTCTGCTGCCTTTGGGCTTACAAATATTTTCACGGTGGAGCTTATGAGTTTTATTGCTTCTTCTGACATACCAGCTGTTTCAAAGCCACAGTACTTACAGAACAGTCTCCTTTGAAAGATGCAAGCACAACCAGAGGTGTACACACACCAAGAGGGTGGGCTCCCATGCCCTCCAGGGGGTCTTCAGAATTACAGGCATGAAAAGCTTGAACCTTAGATAGGGCACTCACCTCCCACACAGGCTGCCAGAGGTAGTCCTCCAGGCGCACCTTGCCTGGTCAATCAAATACTGCTGGGAAGCTGGGATGAGTTGGGATCCAAAACAGCCCAGAGGCAATAATCTGTCTCTGACCTATGGGAAGGGGTTAGGGTGGAACTCTGTCAGTGGGTGCCATCAGTAGCAAAATGAGGCCACAGACAGGCGGGGCCATCTTGGCACAGGAGCCTTTTCTTACAAACTTTGTAGAAATTAGATTTCTGTGTGTGCTACAGGCCACCAGCACCTCCACAGAGAATGCTCCACTGTCAGGGTGCAAAAGCCAGAACAACACAGTGAGGGCTGCTGGGCACACCCTATCCAGTGCCAGCATCATCTGGAGCCACTTCCCAATGCCACAGTCATAGGTGCTCCAAGGGACTGTAGGAGCTGACAGAGAGTCCTCTACCTGCTACCCAGTTTTATTAGCTCCCACCACACCACAACTGCTGCCAAAGGTGTAGTATTTTCAGAACACTGTTTCCTTTGAACAGGTACAAGCACAAGCCTGACACACATTCAGAGAGTCTCCCCTAACTGTTTTTCGCTTAGAGACCAAACAACATCTGCCTTTAGACATGGGGAAGGTGGTGTTTGCTGGCTGCCTGTGTTGCAGTTCTCCCCAGACTGGGGTGTGGAAGATCATAAACCTTACAGCAAGGAAGTGCCAAAAAGATGAATAGTGGTGGTTCTCGGATCTCAGGTTTCACTCTGGCTGAGCACACTAGGCTGAATTAAAAAGGAGACTATGCATATGCTTTGGCACATCTTTTAATTTTTTTCCCCTTTTGTTTGTCTTTCCAGGCACCCAGTGGTAAGAAAGTGGCCTCGTAGCTATGAGTGGTTCTTCATGAAAATGAACATTGAGCACATCTGGCTTCAAAGCTGGTATGGAGAAGGTTCTGCCATTCCAGTAGAAGAGTATTTCAAAGCGGTTCCAAGTAAAGGGTGATTGAATGTGCTTTGAGATAGAAATCTCCTAAGTTTCCTTTCCAGACACTTTTAAAATTTCATGCTGGATGATTACTTTACAGTGATATTTCTTTTCTTTTCTCAAAAGGCTTCAAAATAGCCCTGTCTGACATAGAGCAGAGTGAAAATAAATCAACACAGACTTTCAAATTATAAAGGAGTGGTGGATACTAGCCCTACCCTGCAATGTACAAACTTGTCATTTCAAGCAGGCAATGCGTCATCTTAAATGCTGTTTAAAAATGCTTTGTATCTGTTTGTTTTGACTTCTATTGCTGTGCACCCACAGGGAAACTACAGTATGTGCTAAATATAATATTCTGATTTGCAGAAAAAGCAAATTGCCTACTCAGAACCCTCTATGCATTGTGGAGATATTACTGCTGCTTGGTCTCCTTTGATTTGTAAGTACTCTAAGAGAAATTTAATAGCTGCAAATTTAGGTATTTAAGTTTTTAAAAAATGTTATGCTATAGCTATCCTCTTTGGTTAACTTGTATTTTCTACATGCGCTTTTCCCTAATTAGATAATTTGATATTTCTCTTGGAAATTGAGTAGAACTTCTCCATTTTAGTAGAAAAAATGCAAGCAGTTCAAAGAACAGAGCTCCAACATAACTTGTCTCTCACTGACACAAAGCTGGTTAAACACATTAAGGGCCAAATCAAATTGGCCCCACAAGGATTATCTCAATACAAGTATAAACATTGTCATAAGAAGAATTTAAGTAAATGTTCCCAGCTAGCCTGTTCCTGTTGAGACAGGAAAAGTATTTTTAATAGCCTGTAGTCCCAATTTTTTTTGCCTCCCTTCTCCAGCTACTGCTTTATTTTTAACTCGTTTGTGCAACTGATTTTCTGTAAACCCTCACTAACTCACTGAGGGGTGGAGCAGTCCCTTAACTCTGTTTCCTCACCAAGATTTAAAGGGCTTGTTCATGCATTTATTTTTTTAAAAAATTTATTTTTTTAAAAAGATGTTAGGTATTTCAGGCCACAAAAAACTCATTTTCCTAGTGTGGAAAGTGCAAACTTTGTTGCAAACACATTATTAATAGGCATCTCATGTGATAATACCGAAAGAGTTAAAAGGTATTTTAATCACCTTCAGCCCTTTCTCTAGATGTCCTCCTGGAAAATTTATTCTGCAGTTCCTAAGGGTATCATAGAAAGTTCCCATGGCTAACCAGCCAAGTCACTACACAGTTTGAAAATTATACAACCGTTCTCTCTGTTACATATGAGAAAGAAATACATTGAGATGGGGTATCTGTGCATGTGGGGAAGGTCCATCGGCATCCCTGGGAGTGCAGCTGAGCTCTGGACATCAGCCCACACCACGTCTGGGCTGGGGAGGAACCTGGGTGCCTGGGCGAGTGGCCCAAGCTTGTTCAGGTTAATCCCTGGGCAGAGCTCAGAGGCAGCTGTGTGAGCCACGATCAGCTGGAAGCCAATTAAGTGTAGCTGAGTTTATTTTGGTTCAGGCATAGAGAGAGGGAGTCATTCCCAGAGCAGTGCTGGGCACCATGCTCGGTTAACTACCAGGGGCCACTTAGCCCTTGGGTAAGTTCAGGGCTTCGTACATCACTATCATTCCTGATATTCTGTAAGAATCAAATGCAAAGGAGAGGGGGAAATGTTGTTTAGATACTCACTAAGCCTTTTCCTTGTCTTACTGCCAGAGACTGTTGGCAGTGCAGATCTTTCGCAGAGGTAATTACACAGAAGGAGGAAGCATCCTGCCTCAATCTATTTCCTTCTTTTTTTTTCTTGGCAGATGAGTAGCATTTTCCCATTTGAGTTTGCCCCTGAATCTTGCAGTGTATAGTACTGAAGCAAAATGGCCCATCCTATACAGATGTATAGAATACCATCAAGTGAAATCCTCCTTGATTCATATAATTTTGCCATGGAGATCTTTGTCCACTAGGGATTTGATAACTTTGCCCATTAGGATTAATAGGACTTTTAAATCTGAGTTCAACAGGAAGAACACTAAACCCTGTAAGGGAATTTCTGCAGGTGTAACATTTCTGTAAAACTATAATTACATGTTTTATTCTCCCAGTTCACTACTGTTTCCAGAGCCTGAAATGCCCATTCTGACCCCCACCCCTAAACACACACACACAAATCCAGAGTAAAAAGGTTATGTTTAAAAAAGTTGAAGAGAGGAAGAATTTTATAAATGCTGCTGTTACTATACTCACAGTTTCACTTACGTCCCCTGGCAACAGCGACATAGTCTTGTATCGTATTCATTAACGTATTAACTTGCTTTGAAGCAGGAAGGGATTGTGTCAATGTCCAATAGAGCTTTAATGGTTTAAGAAGTTAGTGTGTACTGAAAAAGTTTGAATTTACAACAGCCTGCTTGCTATAGGCTGTCTCCCTGGACACATAGATTAATTGGAGTAACTTCTGTATTGTAAAGTGACACATTCATCAAGAAGTGTTTCTATACCTGCCATGAGGCTCTTGAGAGAAGCCCAAAACATGAAATGCTGATGGCATATAAAGTGACAAAAGGAGCTCCATGAAGAAATTCTGTCTTAAATCACCTGTTCTCATTTCATGCTTCCTTCACCCGAGGAATAACTACCATAGAAGTCCTACCATGAAAGTCTGTAGAAATTTATCAAAAATATGACCTGCAGATTTTTAATGGAATTTTCCAGACCAAAACAAGGGGAGGTGATAGAAGTTTGCTTAATTGGGATTTACAGTATTATTTATATGCCAGTTCCAGTTTTTCTTTTAACTGACAAATGTCTCAAGTGATATTGGTCATCACATGGTAAGTGTTACTTGTGAAAGCTTTTAACCCAAAGAACGTTACTTGAAATATAATAACAAAATCATAGTTCCTTAAGACTGTGGAGTCTGATCTTGCTTCAGATCAAGTGAAAAATAAAAACAGCATTTATTAGTTGTGCTTTGATTATTAGATCAAACAAGCATTTTATAAAAGGTCTTGATAAGCTCTTATGAATTCATTAAGCATTTCAATTAGCTGATGTGTAATTTCCATGTGTTCTCTATTTTAGTTATTTCTGTAGCTTCCCCAAAAAATCTTGTTGTGCAACATGTTTAAAACTCTAACTGTGGTTTTGCAATATTTAAGTATTGTATTTAGTCATTTCTGTATACTTGCTGAAAAGAGGAAAACAAAGTTGAAAAGTTGAATTCTCACTTTTTGCTAATTTGTGCAAAAGTAATGCATGTACAGCATTTAAGTACAGCTAGTTTGAACTGCTGTTCTTATTTAACCAAAGAATGCTCTGTTTCTGATGGAATTTTCATAACTTCAGTGGATGAAATGCAACTTGTCTCATTTCTGGATGTGTATGGTCATTTGCAATGTATTTTGATTTCTAAAAATATTGAAAGTTGTTAACAAAATGCCCATGGAGAAAAAATACAAATAAACCAAACTTAAAAGTGGAAACTGTATTAGAATCTTTTTCAGTACATCATTAGCCACAGTAACTGACCTTTTGCTAACAGCCATTATAATTTCTGTCTGATCTGAACATCTACTTTTTTTTCCCCCGAGTTTTCCTGAACCAAGCTAATTTCTCTCAAAATATTTATGGGAACTGAGGCTCAGATCTGCATTTTCTCTAGTGAGAAAAGCCTAGCCAAGCACCTTTTATCATTTCTTCATCATCTCTTTACCGTGAGCTTTCACTGTGACAGTTAAATGACACCTTTGAAGTTTACTTTTGTGCATGTAGGCACTGAGCACTCACCTCTCGGGTGTGCATTAATGGTGTTTTGGAAGTTTCCTCAGTGCTATTTCTTCCCTTGCCAGCATTGCTCTTACAGGTTCTTGTTACAGCTTGTTCTCTGCTGTCCAGTTTCCTCTGCCCATGTTTTCTCAAGCCAAGGATGACAATTTACCTTTTCATCTTGCTTTTTGGTGCCATCTCCTTCCAACAAAATTCAAGCTCTCGTACTAAAATTCCCATTTAATATCCGATACAGGTTATAGAACAGAATAGAATAGAAGAGCAGCCTTTGTTAGAACAGAAAAACAGCCAGTGTTACCTATTTACACCTTAAGTCTTTCTTTTGCCTCTGGTTGAACTGCATTCACTATGAGAACCATGACAACAGTTCCCTAACCTGTACAAATCACGGTCAACATCAGCTTCCTATTCCAGCAACTCATATTTTTAAAAGATCATTTCCTGCATTGTTCTTTTCCTTTTTAATTACTCTTTTTATTTTTGTCCCATTTCCAGACTGAAGTCTGTTCTGATTATACCAAGTGTCTTTCACTTACTACGAAAAAAAAAAAAAATCTAATTTGAACATTTTTGGAATCACTGAAGTACTGTTACTTTTTCTTTTTTTAATCGGCTTTTTGCAAAATGCTGAATTTGTGCTTCTTCCAAATTGCCTGTTACTTGTAATGCTTCAATACAGCTCACCTTTTACTTGCCTCTTCTCTGCTACCACCTCCACACACCCTCTCCCATGTAATATTCTGTTAGATGCTCCTCAGTTTCCTTATCTCTTTCCTTTATTTTTTTCATTAACTTCAGTTTTACTGTGTTCTTCCTTCAACTTCCAACTTCTCCACAGCTCCTTCCACATTACTGTGTCTGCTCAGCCTTGTCTGTCTTCTTGATTTTGCCACTTTAAACCTGTTTTCACAATGTTCAATGCCTTTGGAGAGAGTCCAAGTGTTATTTTGGTAGCATGCTACAGAGTTGCTTTAAGGAATGCATTGGGTTTGAAAGTGTTTGTTTGTTTGTTTGTTTGCTTGTTTGTTTAAACACTGACTCTGGAATTGAAATGGGAACATATGGGTCTTGATGCTGTCACAGAGTAGGGCAGTTCACTGTGCTCATGGCTTTTGCTGATGATATCTTCTGCACAAACTATTCTAGGCTCTACTAGACCCTGTCTGCATCAGCAGCCCCAACATATAATCACGATTAGGAAGGACATCAACAAAGTTTGACAATGTTATTTGACAGCATAGTAGAATCACACAATTGTTGACTTCTGAAGGAAAACAGGCATATGAGACCATTAAAAAAAGGCTTGTGAAAACAAGCAATTTATTTCAGAAGCTGGAAAAAGGTACACATGTCTTTTATGAAAAAATAGGTAAGATTTTAAATGTGTTTATTTAAGAAGAGATATATGTTGAATACTTCTAATGGAAAGTGAATCCATAGAATGATCATGTTTATTCAGTACCTTCATTTCTTATTTAAATACATTTTCCTCCAGACATGGTACTGACCATTTCACCATTTTCATCCTTCCGGAGTGAGCTTCCCTCAGCACAACAGCACAGGTACCATTTATATCTGAATGTGCAAAACTCCGATCCCTTTCCCCTGCGTGGCTGTGCACCGCTCTGTTCCTGGCTTCTGACCACTCCTTCCTGTCTGTCCTTACTTCTGGCACTTCAGCCTCCCTCCAGCCCAGGAAGCTGTACTTCACCCTCGAATGAGGGCGAGGTGTGCCCTGCAGGGTGTGGTAGTGACTCATTTAACTTCACAAGTGTGTCACTGCTCAGGCTGATAGACAGGACTCAGGACTGCCACCCATCCCAGGTTCCAAGGCTGAGCAGCCCCAAGTCGGCTGCAGCAGAGGCTGTCCGTGCAGGAGGCGCTTCAGGCACCGGATTTGTGCAGGGGGCTGAGCTGCACCTGCAAACCAGTCCCACCTGGCATCTTCCTGTATCAGGAACACTGTGGCCAGCAGGACCGGGAAAGTGATTCTCCCCCTGTACTCGGCACTGATGAGCCTGCATCTTGAGTACTGTGTCCGGTTCTGAGCTCCTCAGTTCAGGAGGGACACTGAGGTGCCTGGAGAGTGTCCAAAGAAGGGCAACGGAGCTGGTGAAGGATCTGGAACACAAGTCTTAAGAGGAGTGGCTGAAGGAGCCGGGGTTGTTTAGCCTGGAGGAAAGGAGGCTCAGGGGAGACCTTATTGCTTATCTCTACAGCCAGGTGGGGGAGAGCGTCTTCTAGGAGGCAACCAATGACAGGACAAGAGGAACATGGCCTCAAGCTGTGCCAGGGGAGGTTTAGGTTGGACAGTAGGAGGATAGGAGTAATTGCTTCACAGAAAGCGTGATTAGACATTGGAATGGGCTGCCCAGGGAAGCGGTGGAGTCACCGTCCCTGGAGTTGTTTAGGGAGAGAATGGACGTGGCACTTAGTGCCATGGTCTGGCTGACACGGTGTTTCGGTCACAGACTGGGGTCGATGATCTCGGGGGTCTTTTCCAACCTAATCGACCCTCTGGGTGCCGCAGCGACCAGGCCGCCTCATTCCCCGCACCGAGCTCGCCTGCCCGCCCGGCCCGGCCCCTCCGCTCTCCCGTCATGCCGCGGGGCGGGGCGGCCCGGCCCCCTTCTCCCCATCAGCCGCGGCGGCTCCGCCCGGGGCGGCACCGCCGGTACCTGCGCGGCGCGGGGCGGCCGCGGGCAGAGCGCGGCGGCGGCGGAGCGACCTCCTCACGCTCCTCGTGTCCGCGGCGGGGGCGGCCGGGCCATGGTGCGGCGCGCCCGGCTGGCGCTGGTGGCGGCGGCGCTGGTGGCGCTGGGGGCGCCGCCGCCGCCGTGCGCGGGCGCCCGGGCGCTGGAGTGGTACACGGCGTGGGTGAGCACGGCCTACGTGGAGCCGCTCAGCAACCGCACCGTGCGCGGCAACACGGAGAGCGGCCGCTACGGGGACAGCTCGCCCAAGGAGAGCGCCCAGGGCCTGGTGGGCATCCCCCGCGGCGCCTCGCCCCGGCACATGGAGGGCTGCGCCGCAGACACCGACTACGACGTGCCGCTGCCGCCCGGCGGCCGCGGGCCCCCCGAGGGCGACCCGCAGCCCTGGATCGCCCTGGTGGCTCGCGGCGGCTGCACCTTCAAGGACAAGGTCACCAACGCGGCGCGGAAGCGGGCGTCCGCCGTGGTCATCTACAACGAGGCCCGCTTCGGCAACAGCACCGTGTCCATGTCCCACCTGGGTGAGCGGGGACGGCGCCGGGCGCTCGCCCAGGGGTCGGGAGGGATGTTTCTGGGGGGTGGCTTTGTCAAACGCCGGCCCACATCGGTGTTGCGGCTTTGCGCGGTGAGGGATGGGGAGACGGGGAGGCACAAATCCCTGTAAAAATGGTATAGAGAGCAGGGGGGTTGTTTTATCTTTCTGTAAGCCACGGTAGGGAGAAGGCCGGGACCGTGTTCTGTCTCCCAAGTTACGGCCCGGGTGTCGCGGGTGGGGGGAGATGCGGCTGAGCCTTCGGGACGGGCAGCGTGTGACAGACTGCGGTGGGAGGCTTGGGTTTCCTTCGGGGACACCTTTTTGCCTGGCACCCTCTGGCAGAGTGGCTGCAGCGGTAGGCCGCTTTCTGCAGACCGTGTGGAAACAGACCAGGTATTCCGAAGATGCCTTCAGGTGTCTTCGAAGGCACAGCTGTAGCTATTTAGAGGTAGCTTTTGGTACAGGCTTTGTTGTAATAGCTTCATCGTCCTTCCTGCGCAGGTCTGTGAAGGGTGGGAGAGGGGTGTAAGCATCAGGTAATGCTTGCGAATGGAGTAGAAAAACTGAATCCTGGAGAAGGATGTTGACTTGGCTTGTTTGAGCGTGTCGCTGCTATGTAGCTTGGGTTCTGTGAAGGGTTCTGTGATTTTTGCCGAGATAGGAATCCACATGTTCTGTTGCCGCAGTCCTGGTTTGGCTTTGAGCTATGACACTAAAGCCTTGCTGAATTTTTATGGTCATGACAACATCAAATGCTTAAATCAAAGGGGAAAAGAGCCTCGAAATTCAGCAATAAAATCTGGGTTTGCTTTTGTAGATTTTCGAGAAACTGGGAGGTCTTCAGAGAAGGATGCAAAGACAAAGCAAACTAAGTAAAAAAATTCTGCAGATGTGTGCTTCACATGGCTTTTTGGTACAATGAGTTTGTTAATGCTCTCGCTCTGATCCTTGGTCATGAGGAAGGAAAAGCCCAGAGAGCTGGCTGAAATAGAACCATAATGTGTTTCTAAAGGAAATAAACTTATTTTCCTAGTATAGTGAGCTGAAAAACTAAGTTAGGGAGCTATTGCTCTATCACACATGTCATTTATCAATTGGAAAACAAGTCTCTCCTTGAAATACCAAGGAGCACCAATTTGGGGATTGGAAGCATGATTACTGTTCCTCTTAGCCTGCCGATTGCTTGGGATCAGGCTGGCCTATCTCATGTTCTTAATCTACTGTGAAAGTCGAGATGAGTTGCTAGGTACAATTGACCTGTGATTCTGATCCCATGTGGCAATTAAGATACTTTGCTCTTTATCTTTGTTCTTCTTTATCAGCTGCTTCTTCTTGCTGTCACTCTGTATTGGCCAATCAGTACAAATTTTTTTTCCACATTCTTCTTCACTGCCCATTGTAGCATAGAATTATCTCATAAATACTATTTGCTCTCTTGTTGAATCTTTTCCTCCTTTTCTCCTCTTGCTTATTTGATAATATTTTTTTTTAATTTTTTTTTCTTTTCTACTGTCGTCTCTGACTACAGAAGACCTTGAGCTTACTGCTCAGGTTTGGACTTGCTAGTGTAGTTGTATCTGTCAGTGGCATAAAGAGAAGTGCTCTGACTGCTGTTTGGGTTTTTTTTGTCTTCTTAAACTGGCAGAATGTTGCTGATATAAGTTCTGCCTATATAAACAGTATGATTTAGTATAGTGCATATATACAATAATGTATTTGTTCTTATACTGATTTCACAAGTGCAGGTTGGACCTCAGAATGGTTTTAATGGGAATGTAATAATATATCCCAATATAATTACAAGCTCTGATGCAGTCATAGGTGTTTGTTTCATGGTTGAAACTTTCAGGCGTGTAGATGTTCAAATATTTTTAGTGTACTTTGGGAATATATGGAAGAACTACTGCTGGTATTTTAAATATTAGGCTTTTTGAAGGGAGAAAAAAGAGTCTATGGAAGACTGGCAAGGAAGAACATGGAAGGTAAAGCTGTATTTTACACAATTTAAGTCTTCCATTCCTGTGAAGGGATTTGTGAATTGACACATGAGGAAGCAAACTTTGTTTCTGGGAGAGTGCTGAGGATATACACTCTGGGAAATCTACAGTGCAGTAACTAAGGAGTGGAGTTGTATGCATGAGTAAAATCCACTTAATGGGTTAGCAATTAGTGGCACTGAAAATGATGTGAGATGGAACAGTGCTTATGCCTGGTAGAGGTGCAGCCTAAATTATGTGAAGGTGATAAACAGATGGCTTTTCTGATTCCAGTGTATTTTCATTCTCCTTCTGAAAAACCTGACCTTTGAATTTTCTGGAATGTGTGTGATGCATGGGTGCTATTGTTGCTGTAGGATTTTTGGTGGTTTTTGACATCTTTCACCTTGAGTAGAAAGAGAAGTTCTTGAGTAGGTGAAGAAATGATTTTTTGTAGCTGATGTCAAAGCATTTGATAAAGGGCAAATACTCTATTTCTCTTGGATACCTTGTAAGCTTCATGAGTGCAGTGAGTAGGGCTCTTAATTAGAGCTTTGAAACAAGAGAGTCGAGAATTTAAATATGTAGCCTTGCAATCCTGTCCCTCCTTCTAAAAGAAAATTCTTCAGTTGTGACTCTACTGATGTGTTTTGTGTTTCAGGCCTTTGCTCTCTGTCCAAATTACATTGTTCAAAATGCTGAATGACTTCCCTCCTCTAGCAAAGTAATAGGGACACAACTTCATGTGTGGCTGAGGACAATTTTTCTAATGGAAAACACTCATTTTACCCAAACTACTCAAGGTGGTTTTCACTTATTGTATCTCAATAATATAAACTCGAACTTCAATATTACAGACTTTGAAGGCAATCTTAAATCTGTTAATTTTTTGTGATGGTGGCAAACTTTAAACAGAAGCTTCAAATTAATTTCCAGAAACAAAACAAGTATTGCATGTAAATATTAGCTGAGAGCAGGCTGGAGAAGAGTCTGAAGAGGCAAGTGTGAGGTATTATGGAGACCAGATTAAGGAGGGTCAGAGGCTCAGTTCTGGTTGAGAAATTAGGGGGAGGCAGAGGTGTATTCCAGTGGAAAGAAAACAGGGTCTTCTGGTTCTATATTTTTCCTGTTGTAGTTCATGCTGGGCATCCAGCCATCTCTCAGTGCCCCCTCAAACTACGATTTGCTGATTCTGACCAGAACATAAGCTACCTTGAAGACTGTGGAATTAAAATATGATTTTGCTTGACACACGGGGTGAGAGGGGACTGGCTTGTCATAGTTTGAGGTAGGTCTGGAGTGGGGCTTTGGTTCATGGCCTGTGGATTTAAGGGAAGCTTGAGACTTAATTTGAGCATATGACTTTGGCTACATAAAGAAAGGGGTCTTAGGTTTGCCAAAATACATCCAACTAGTTCTTTCCTTCATTGTTATGGGGGGTTTTATGCATGTATATTGAACAAAACAAATGCAAATTACTTTGTACTCATGATTCTATAAGCTCTTGCAATCTCCAGAGCAGCAGTTAGAGTTATTTTGGCATGTAGTTCAACTCCTTGCTATAGCAGTGCTTGCAGCACTACTCAGGATTCTCAAGTGCATAATTTCTGTATTACTGCTGTTTTCTTCTGAAAGCGTCTGGTACTGTAAATACTGAAAGAACAGAACTGAAATCAATGACTTGCTTAACTTAGACAGTGACTGCATGATGTCGAGCTGCTAATGTTGTTCTGAAGAAGCAGGAGTAACTTCAAAATGCTGTGTATAATCTGTGTTACACATAGAAGTGCATATATGTTGGAAGCTCATGTGGAAAGAGGTATGTGTACCAGTGGTTATGCATCCTTCTCCTTGAGGCAGGTGAAAACAAAACATGCACCAGGGATTTGATGAGATGAGGTTGGGGTAGATGGTTGTCACTGGATTGTTAGTGTACTGGTAACAGCCATTTGTTTGAACCAGGAGCTGAAGAGAACCTTAGGTGTTAATTGTGGCAGTATTAGTAGGATGCTTATGCTTAAATAAATGAATGGACTGACCTTAAACATTTTTACGAACATGGTCAAACTCTGGAGCTTTCTGATGTTTCTCAGGAGGACAAAAACTAGAGTGTGTCTACCATTGGTTTCCAGATGACAGAAGATTATCTTTTTTGTCTCTAAGCGTGAATGAGAATAAATGTTGTAATTTGGGATGCCTGGAATCTGTATCTGTCCTACTTTTTCCTCATCAGGAGAGTACTGGTTTCCTCTTCCGAGAAAGTACTAGCAATGCTAGCAGTAAAACTGACCTTGGTGCACTGGCAGGAAACATACCTTCATCTTCAGAGTTACAGATTTGCCCTTTTCTGCAAGTATCCTAAGGATCTGCGAGCCATGATAATGTTAAAAAGCACAGACCAAATTTTAAATCTACCCAGTTTCACTGAAGCATCAATCAAACCTAGACGAGAAAACAAGTTCACTCTAGCAGAGTAAAAATGTGATTATTTATTGTAAAATTAGAAAGTTTTAGAAAGGCAAAGCCAACAAAACTTGCTTTCAGTAGATACATGTATGTGACACTTGGAGTTTTCTTTATAAATGTGATTTGAGATCTCTGGGTTGTGTTGCAGTTGAAGAAGCTGATGGAATGACTCAACATCATTTCAGTCTTTGAATAATGTGTTTCAGAACAGAAGGCTAAAATTAGCAAGGAATGAGTTAAAACCCTTAGTCTTACATGCTGCTCAGGGCAACTGCTTCTCTGAGACTGATCTTGTTCCTTTTGTAATCATTGATTGCAATTATTTTTTATTTCCCTCCCTTCTGTTGCATGACCTTCAAGGCCATTGTGTTTAGTTGTGTGTATTTTTAATGGCAGGTTCATCACCAAGTCTTTAAAACTGTTAAAATGGTTTTAATGGGCATTTATTTAAAAATCTATGGCATGCATGTGTTAATTCTAAAAGTGGAAGGTGCCACAGTATCTAGTAGCCATTGTGTAAAAGTAGCCTGACTTTCATTTCAAGGAAAAAAACTGCCTGATAGCTGGGCATGCTAGTGGCAAAACAGAGAAAGGCATTACTTATTGTTGTGGGGGTTTAAAATACTTCTTTGTTAGAAATAGCACAGAGAATTAGATAGCAAGATTAAACTGACTTGGGATTTCAGGACTGAGGTGGAAATGTTTATTGATTGAAAAATCCAGGCTGTCTCTAATCTTGAAACTTCCTTTTCTTCCCCAAGCTTGAATGAAAACACATAAATTTTTCCAATACATCTGTACCATTCCCTTGCCATTCTGAGGCACACCTGCCATTACTTTTAACTTACAGTTGAGTAAGGACATTGGACCTAATCTCTTGATTTAGATATGGGGATAGCAGTTCTCAGCAGTGTGAGGTAAATTCTTACTTTCATGTGTTTTTTCTTGTTAACTCCCTGGGCAGGGTCAAGAGCAAAGAGTGCTTTGCACAGTCTTCTCTGAGATTCATGATTCTCTCTGGTAATGCTTTCATGCTGGCTCAGAGAGGAGAACAATATTAATTAACCAATTCTTAGTATGCTTGGACTTGTGATAACAGGTGATAACCTGGATTGGCATGTTGTTGGTGAGCAGAACTCATTATTGGAGCCTGTCCTGTTTGTCTTCAGCGTCGCTGCTTTATGTCTCCAAACACACCCACCAGGCAAGGCAACAGGAGCTCTGGTGAGCAGAGCTGGGTGCCTGAGGGGAGGCACAAATTAGACCTTTCTCCATTAGCATATTTTCTTTTTGTGTGTGTGTCTCTGCACAATCCTCAGAACTTCCACAAACATAACTCTCTTTGGAAAATCTGTCTTTTGCTGGGTCTGCATCTGGCAGACACGGGTATAATGGTCCTTACAGTAGGTGATCAGAGGTGCAGAAGGGGAAGCTGAGAAAGGGTAACTGGCACTGAGATAGGAGTGCTACTCGTCTTTAGTGTTTCATCCAAAGCAAACCATCTGCATCTTATGGAGGGAGGAGTTGCTATGTACAGAAGTGAAACTTCTTCAAATTCCCCTTGGCTTGGTAGCAGAGCGACCAGGTTGACAAGGTGTCACAGCCAGAACTGTCTCAACTAAAAGAATTTGGTTTAAATAGTTCAGGCAAATAACTCTTTCTCTTAGTAGGCAGAGAGGTAGGGGAGTCCAGAATGCAGCTTTGGCTTTTGAAAGTCCCCATTTGATGTAATGTTATAAAGTAGGAAACCATTTCTTCTGACATAGTTTCTCAGTAGGGAATGTAACACAGATGGGAGGGAAAAAGGCTTTAAGCCTTCAGTGGGAGGTCTTGTTGCAGGTAGGTAATCTTGTGAATCTAAAAAGGTAACTGTGACATTACAACTGTAGTTTTTCAGCTAGGAAAACCCCCCTCTTTTTCTCCTTTCTCTCAGAATTAAGATTAGTTTCACTTTTTCTCAGAGGTGGGAGAGCAAAGTAAACTATAAAGCCATGACTTACCAAGGGTGTAGCAGTGCTAGTACATAAAAAGTAAGAACTATTCAAATAAAAATAGTATAGACCAGTGAAAATGTGACATTTTTAACAGGTACGTTTGTTTGTTTGTTTTTAATACTTAAATTAGATGTTTCTGAGACAATACTGGAGATGCTTCCAGCATTGTCTCAGAAAAGATAGAATAAAACTCTAGTCACAGAGGATCTTTGGTTTTGGCTAGTTCATCTTGACAGTATCCTTACTGGTTTTGGTGGCAACATGATGGCTAAAGGTTTTGGGTTTTTTTGAAATTAGATGGTTTTTTCATACGGATTGAGTACTATAGAATTCTAATATATGAGAAGAATCCTTTGGTCTAATACTTTGGTCCCAGAGTATTTCTTGACAGTCTCATTACATTTTGAGTATTCAGTATTAAAGAATCTTCAAGTATTTCAACATTTAATGTAATTTATTATTAAATATCTGAATCTTCTTTTCTTTTTGCTTACATATCCAGTGTCATTGTGCTATGGATTCAGATTCAAACTAAATTGAATGTGTCTCCCTTTGTGATATTCACGTACTGTCTCCATCTGCAGCTAAAATTCCCATGCTGACAAATAAAAGACCAGCTGTTCCTGAGTTGCAAGTCAGAACTTAAGCAGCTTCAAGATGAGATGTGCATAACTTGTCTGGCTTTTTTGCATGGCATCTACATCTCACCTCAGTGTGTGGAATGATGACTATATAGGGCCTTGAACAGTAGAGATGCATCTGTTGGAGTTTATCTCATGTTTGAGAGTTTCTGAAAGTAAATAAGGATTTCTTTACTGGTAAACTTTCTATCAAGTCAAAAAAGCATTGCAGGTTTTCCTTTAACTTTGTTTCCTGATCTTAAATTGAAGAGCCAAATTGCCCACAAGAAAGAACGCCTACATTTTTACTGTGATGACTGACTTCTTTTCTTTCTTTTCCCCCTCCAACAGGAACAGGAAATACAGTGGTGATAATGGTTGGTTATCCAAAAGGCATAGAGATACTGGAGCCAGTACGAAGAGGGATTCCAGTAAAAATGACTATTGTTGTTGGCACACGACATGTGCAGGAATATATTAGCGGTCAGTCGGTTGTGTTTGTAGCCATCGCCTTCATCACCATGATGATTATATCACTTGCTTGGCTCATATTTTACTATATACAACGTTTCCTGTATACAGGATCACAGTTTGGAAACCAGGTAAATGGATCTGATGATGCTTAAGAGTATTTACCTCCTCCGTTTGTCAAATCAGTTGCCTAACTTCTATTGTTTATTGATGCATTCTTTAAGATCTGTGCCTTCTTCCTATTTTGCTAACTGTGAAAGCTGCTCAGTAGTAGTTAGGCTAATAAGCACTATGCTAATTGTCATTGCAAGTTTGGCTAGTCATAATTATTAGATGCTGATATGAAGTAATGAGAAATACATTTAGCCACTTGTCAACAACAGAGTAAGGGCAGCTTCTTGTGTGATTTGTCACCTAACTGAACTTCCTTCCTTTTGGCATTTAAAGTTATTTTCATTCTTCAGCAATTTTCATTCTGAAAGTATTAACTTCCCATAACAAACTTTTTTTAATGGAAAGAGACCGTGGTAAGTTTTTCTTTCTTTCCTTAATAAACCCCACAAGTTGTTCAGGGTAGAATTATTGGTTCTAAGGCTTTATGAAAACTGCTTTTGATACTTTTAATTCTACCACTCCATTGTAGAGTTCCTGAATTGCATCAGACTAGAAGGTGCATGTGTGGTGAGATTCACCTCTCTTAGGCTACCTGAAATGCTGAGAGCAGTGAGAGTTCTGGGAAGGTTAGGAAAGAATAACTTTGCTCCATATGTGCTCTTTTCATATTCCTGTACTTTGATAGAATGAAAAAGTCAGCTTTACTTTTTTTCCTTGGAGGAAGTACTTCATCATAGAACACTTTAGGTTAGAATGGACCTCTAGACCCCTGTGATCAAGAGAGCAACTTGCATAGAATTGTTGAGGACCTAAGTCCAGCTGAGTTTTGAAAATACCTTAGAGTGGCACTTCCCTCTGCTTTCCATGGTCATCAGTGGCTCTACCGTAGTTTTCTACTAAGAATGGAAAATGAAGTTGCACTTGCTTATATTTGCAAAAGGTTCTTGTTTTATCCTCAGCCCAGGAAAGAATGTTGTTTCAATCACTGCTTTGTCTGTGGACTTCCCCTTCCTTCTCTTTGAAGATGTAGATTTTGGGGGAGGAGGGAATGGATTTTTGTTTGCCTTTAGGAATCTGAGCTCTGTATGGGTCTTATAGGACTATTCTAGGAAGATACTTAATTTCTCTTTTCAGTAACTGAGGATAACACACAGGACTTCTGTATTGGTTAAACTTGTGATCTCTCTGAAATGTTGGTTCCATAGAGTCTTTTTTTTGCTAAGCTTTAAGTCTTAGAACTTATATTCTGAGAATACTTTCAAGAAAACAAAATTTTTGAGAAGTATTTGTAGAAAAAGGGATGTATTTCTGTGTTGCAACAGTTGTTTGGTGAAGAAGGTTGCTTCTTCCTGTTGCCCTTTGGGTAGTTCACACTAAGGAAAGTTCACATGCTTTATTAAGCATCATATCATATAATGTGCTTTAGTTTTAGGGTGTTTTGTTTTTTCTTTGTGTGAATGTGGTGTTTCTCAGAAATATGTACCACAGACTCTTAATAGATTATGTCATTGGGCTTGTCATCCAGATACTTCTTAAATAAACGAAACTGTCTAGCATTAAAAGGTTATGCCATTTTATCAATTCTCTCTCTTCTAAACGGCTTTGAAAACAAAAATGATGCAAGGTTGAAAAATGTTGTGAAGATATTAGTCAAGATATATGGTTAGGAGTCTTAAAAGAATTTTGGAGACAAAAAGCCACTTTTCTAACCCAAATTTTATTTTTCTTGGCTTATGGACTGCAGTACAATTAAAATTTAGGAGTTAAGTATGTTATGCTTTAAAGCAAGCTGCTGTGTAGCTGTTAAGTCAAGGTGAAGATGGTTATCTTCAGGTTTATTCTAATGCCAGCTTAGCAGTAAAATTTTGGAAGACCTCCTTTCTACTGAAGATGAAACAGGACTGTGCAGAAAACCCTGTGGTGCTACAGAAGGTGGAATAGGCTTCTGCTGCTGGTTGTCTGTCCATTTCTGAGAGAACTTTCAGACTCATTATTTTTAAAAATAAACACCATAAAAATTTTAAAATCCCAATTTTCAACACTATACCCTTGTAAAACTATATACATCGTTGTAATTACTATAGAGAAAAGCTGCCATTATTTTTTTTTTATTCCTTTATGGTATTCCTTTATTATGGTAATACCTTTATGGTATTTCTTTAGTGAGTGTTGCTGCTAGACAGGACAGCATCTGTTAATTGGGAGTGCTGAGTTTCTCAGTTTCTTGCAGTAGCTGGCACTTTGTCTCAGAATACAGTACTGCTTTCTTTTCTTGCTTCCCCTCTAAGCATAATTAGGAGTTACTGTACAGAAGTCCAGTATGGTGCATCATGTCTGTGAAGCCTTTCTTGTCATCTCCTTCGCATAATGTGTCCTTTCAGTGCAAAGCTTTGTCTCACGTAGGAGACAGTGTTTAACTGAGGGGAAGTATTAATAGCTACAAGCAGCCTTTTGACCTGGTGGCCAGCTGTAGGCTGCCTGGCAGGATTCCACCTGCTCTCAGGCTGGTGCAAAACCTACAGTCTGCTTGCTCATGGGCTTGACTAACTGGAAGGTCTGGTTATACGGGTGCTGTTTCAGCTCTGCCTCTAAAGCCTACACAGGTTTCAGTTTTCCTGTGCGGAAAGACCCTGAAAGCCAGCAGTGAGGATGCAAGGCTGGATGTGTCGCTGTGGTCTGCTTGGTTTGGTACTGCTTGGGTTTGTTGTACAGAGAACGTGTGCTGCTGGGCCCCAGGAGTGCAAAACCTGCAGTTCTCAAACATCTGCCGGCTGGAAATAATTTGTAAACAAATTGACTAGCCACAGATTATTTTTTTTTAGATGCATTCAGAAGACTTAGTAGTCTGCGTAGAAAGTATTTAAAAACTTTGAAATGTAATGTCCTGAAACTAATGTCTGTACTAATACTTAAAATCTTCTTTCCAGGGACATAGGAAAGAAACAAAGAGAGCAATCAGCCAGCTTCAGCTGCATACTGTGAAACGTGGAGAAAAGGTAATTCAGTGTCTCTGGTGTTTGCTATAGGATTTAAAAATGATTGTAAAGTCTTCACAGAATTTAAACTCGCACAACGTAATTGCAGTGTGACATACAATTTTAGGGCCTTTGTTTAAAAGGCAGAATTTAAAACTGAAGAGTCAAATTTTAACTACTTATGAAATGTAAGGCTGTTTTGTTGCAAATAATATCTGGTTATACAGAGTGTATACAGGGCTGGTACTGTAAAGATGGGGAAACATTGTTATGTTTTCAGCACTTGAAAACATCAACAAGTGGATTGCAAAATACTTCCTGGGATCTACTGATTGCGCAGTTCTTACAGTGATGTAACGTTCTGTTTTCTTTAAAGAACATTCATCTTTTTATTGATCGAAAGACCTTAAAAATATAAAAATATTTGAAAAATAAAACACTTGTTTTATCTTTTGACATACAATACATTAAGGAGCTGTATAGACTTACGTTCAAGCGTAAATTTTTTAAACTACCTTTCTTATGTTATGAAATCTGTTCTAAAAAGTAAAGCAGCTTTCAGAAAGTTGGCTTTGACAGCATACAGCCTAAACTGAGCTGTATTAGAATAAGCAACATAGAAAAAGCCAAGGTTTCGAAAGAAAATATTTGAGTTGGAGATTCAGGCAGCACTGATGCTAGATGCAAAATTAGCTTCTGACTAGATTTTTGCTACTACATAGACACTTTTTTCCCCAGCCCTTGTCTTATTTGATTAGTTTTTACTTAAGGACTGATTTGCTCAGAGATGAAAAACAAGGATTAGGTTGTCTTTAAACCTATAATAATATTGAAGTGAGGAAGGACATTGATGTGTAAAAACTTTAAAAGCTGTGTGTTCAGCTAAGATCATGTGCTACACAGAATATCCTTCATTTAGGAAATCGGTTTTGAAACTTAAAAACCCCAAAACTGTCTTTGAACTTCCTTGCCTTTTTCCTTTTTATGCATTCAGCATGTTTAAGTAGTGTTTTACGAGTGTTTCTTACTTTTAATTAGATTCCTTTTTGATGGAATTTAGTATATATTTCAAACTGTGAACAGATATATATTCATACTTCAGTTCATACAAGATCAAGAAAGAAGGAATTGAACCAAAGCATGTGTAAAGCAGTATCAAAGCATAACATCAGCATAGGGAAAAAGGGATGTAGAAGGGTCAGGATGAAACCCATGGTGAAAATCACACGGAATATGTTAATGCCTTTTAAATATATTCAGTAAACCTCTAAAAAAATTTGTATCATGTGATTTTTGCAGTGTGCCAGGGAGTTCCTTCCCATGGATAGACCCTTGATGAAATAAAAGGAGGGAACTTAAGTTGTTACACAGTATGGTGGCTGTACCTATGAATGCCATGTTAGATAAGCACAATAGAAGATGAGGTTAAAATCTCTCTATTAAAATAGTCTTTCTGCTTAGTAAATCACTTCTTCTAATTTGATTTCAATCAGCCTGCTATCAGCAAATATATGTAAATTACTGATGTAGAGGTATTTTCAGGAACTAATGTAAATTTATCTGGGAATACAGTCCTGTCTGCTCTGTAAATGTACATTTTTTTTCTTCAAGTATTTCTTTTCAGCCATTTAAAAAGAGTCTGTTTCTTTTGTTATGACACAGTACAGTCTTTCGTTATGTCTTCTTTTGAGGTTGAGGTATTTAACTAAAAGTAGGTCAATATATTAAAAGTGTATTTGCTATCATGTAGATTTTTCCTGAGAAGCTTATGGGATTATTGTAAAATGGACACTCATTGGAGTATGTGCTACATATGGTATACTTGGATTTTGCCTCTTGTACTGAATGAAAAATAACTTGTTACAGAATAAGTACTTGTCTTAACTTTGTTTATGTAAAAAAACCCCAGTCTTAATATGATTTACTTAGGAATTTAAGGCATTAATTATGTAAATTGACAGCATGCAAAGGAAGGAAATACTTGCCTTGAACTTGAAAGTTTGCTTGCAGCACTAATTCATTTGAGTGTGTGGTAATGAAACTGAAGTGCTTCAGTAAGTAGTAAACCAAAAATACTTATTTTATGGAGATAAAAAGAAGTTTGTCCACTCTCTGTTCTTCCAATACTTAGGCTTTATACAGCCCAATTAACGTTGGACTATTTCTCTCGCATTTGGAGATACCCATCATATTTGCACTGGAGCTATAAGCATGGCATCAAAAAGACAATAAGACCTGTTAGGAAAGATGTTAACCTTTAGAAATAGAGGTGGGGAAACACTGCCTTTGATGTTCTGTCTAATGTGAGCTCGGAGAAAAGTTTTAAACTGTCCCAAGTTGCATATTTTACTATGAAGCTATGAAAGAGTATCTGTTAGGATGTGGTAGAAAAAAGTGGAAAAGATGTTTGCAGTGTTCTACCCTGAGAATCTCTTCCTGCTCAAGCACTTTGGGACCATTAGATTGTGCACTTTGATCTGTGGTGACCTCTTTTAAAATTATTTCATTGGATAGTTACTTTAAACTGAAATGTTCCTGTGCTCCCATGATCAAAACCAATGTTTATGTAACATATTACCTAAGATACCATGTATATCTATTTAAGGTAAAAAATCCAGGTTTGACTGCTTTTTAGCATTTGGGTAACACTTGATCAAATCACCTCCTGATAGAATCTTGAATTAAGTGAGGGAGATATTTTTATTTACTATACCATTTAATACATTTCGTGAAGCTATTACACAAAACTTATCCTGTAATGAAATATAGATGTAATACACTTAAACATGTTATCACATTTAGGGTTTAGATGTTGATGTGGAAAACTGTGCTGTGTGCATTGAGAACTACAAACTGAAAGACACTGTCCGAATTCTGCCATGCAAGTAAGTTGCTCTAATTCTTCTTTACTCTTTAGCATGTTTTTCTGAAGAAATGGGATGAGTTTTCTGTAAACTCTTCTTAACCTCTGGTGGCAGAGCTGAAGTTGCCATTTGTTGGCCTGTTACATGTTGAAGGGCACTGAGAGACCACGTAGGGCTTCATACTTATGCAGGGGCAAGGGAGCAACTGGGAGGACTGCAGCAGTGAAATAGAGCTTGCTTAAATTAGAACTGTAACACTGTTTAACTAGTAACTCTGGGGTTTCTTTGTGGTTAGTAAAACATGAAAGACAAGGCTTCCAGAAAATTGTACCAGTAAATCGAGCAACATCTAATTGTCAGTGTTATCAAGGAAGGGTTTATGTTTGATGTGTTAACTTTCCCACTGTAAGAAGGAGTACTGTGTGGCTTTCATGATAAGTTCTAAAGGGCATTTCTTTTCTTTAGGCACATCTTCCATAGAACGTGCATTGATCCGTGGCTTTTGGACCACCGAACTTGTCCAATGTGTAAACTAGACGTTATCAAAGCTTTGGGATACTGGGTATGTTGCACACTTACTTTGCACTTCAAGGTAGAAGTACAGTTTAGGAGGCAAGACTACATGTAACTGTTCAGAATGAGAACAGCTATAACTTTGCAAGACTCAAGAAGCTGAGCAAAGATGCAAGGGTAATTGAGAAACAGAAAAATAAGGGAATTTTATGAGTGAGAGCTTAAGTGGTATATTGAGCATCTTATGAATCTTCTGTGATAACCGATTTTTTTCTGTCTCCAGCTGGTGATAGTAAGGAGGTGAGATGGTTTGTCCAAGCTACAAATATATAACTGAATTCAGTAAATCCAGAGCATATATTTGATGTTGTTGAGAACTGCAATTCAAAGGAAAAAAAAAATAGTTTTTCTGAATAGTGTTTGTGTACTTCCACATATGCCCTGCATTTCATCCCTGTAAATGAGCTGGTACTAAAACCTTCCTAAAGTCATTAACCAGAAATTGGTTAAGTAGAGAAAATGATGTGCTCTCATTTCTTTCTGACAGCACCAGAAAAGAGAGATGAAGACACATGCGGTAGGTTACTTGGTCACTGTTGATAAATAGTCTTGAGTTCCACTAAAATGCTATAGACATGAATGTACCTCTCTCATCTCCTACTGATCTACAGAGATCTTTAAAAAATAGGGGTGTTCTTTGGTTTCAGGGACTTTCCTTTCATAGAGTAGGTCTGCCTTTTGACTACCTTTTCTCTTATTTCATTGAATAGACTTAGCAGATCTGTGGAAGAGTTTTATGAATTACTGTTTTGTTTTGTCAAAGGTAATAATACTCTTGCTATGCAGTATGTATATACCAGATTTTGGTGCTTTGGTATATTAAGTCAGGCTTTACCCAAGAGTTGCAATATTTTTTGTCATATGAAAGAGTTTTATTGCTACTTTAATATTGTTATATTAGCAGCTTGTTTTTTGCTCACTTTCAGTTCTTGGAGTTGATGTATCTTGTGTTACATGCAGAAGGACTTATCCTTTTGAATACAGGCTAAAAACCAAAATACTAGAACCTTCAGAATAGTTATATTTCCTGAATTCACGCTGTTGCAGTGGATACTGATACCAAGCCCAACCAGGAGGAGTAAATACCTCCTCCACTTGTTGGCCAAAATGACTTTTGGAAAGCAGGTGGAATGGGATTATATTAAATAGAGAAGCCCAGTTCATTTTTCTAATTAAATAGAGGAAATATATCCTGCTTAGTTATCAGTCATTCAAGTCTTACTGACACTAATAATGTGGGAAATCATTCAGGATTTTTTTTCTAGCTTAGTTTTCAGCCTGATCCAGATTGCCCAATTTAGTCTGTAGAGTGTTTACTTGAATTTTTCTACTGACGTGAAGAAAAATGTGCAAAAAGCAAGGCAGCTTCTCTCAGCAGTGCACTTGCTGAGTGACATACCTGCAGAGAAGAATGTGCAGCCTTATTATAGAAATTATTAAACCTTCTGCAAAGGAGTTCAAGGCTCAGTTCAGTTTTATGGACAACAAATACTTGAGATGCTTCAAAAATTTTAAAGGCTTAAAGAGAAAGAAGGTACAAAGTCCTATTACCTGGCTTTTGTAAAGGACAGACTTCAGTGTTCTAATTCTTCATTATACTATTTCTTAAGAAAGAAAGAACTGCAGTTCAGCATGTCTGATTGATTTTGTAGAGCATTACTGAATTTTGCAGTTTCAGTGCTTATTTAACTGTCTAAGTTTTGGAAAATCATTGTCTCCCACCCACATACATAAAGATTAGTATCATATGTGTCTTGTGTTCAATTGTAGCAGTTCTATAGCTTATTAAAATTCAGTACATTTTAAAATGTGATGATTTGATGATAAAGAAAGAATCAGACTAGAATTTCTTAAATCTTATGATGGGCCCTTGCTAGTTGTTTGAGGAAGGGAAAAATATTTGTTAGGAGACTCACAGATTAGCTACTTATACTGCAATATACTTGCTTATGTTTAAATAATATCAGTATAGACACGGCAATGAAGGTAGCCTGTTTAATTTCAGGAACAGAACTGTACGTGCAGGACTTTAAGTTTCAGAATGGATCAGAAATAGCCATGCTATACAATAGGTGAAATAAATCCCTTTGCCTGTGCTGCAGATGTTTTGTTCCTGCAAAGTGACAAGCCAGCATATTTGCAGTTTTGGAATTGACTTAAAGTTAGGCTGGAGGTAGAGGAGGAGAGAAGTTTATTCTGATGTCAAATGTTTGCTCACCTCAGTAAAAAAAAGTGTAAGCTTGCCCAACTACTGTCATGAAAAAGAGGTTTCTGCAAACTCAAAGGATCAATGTTTCTTTAGTGGAGCCTGCTCCTAATTATATTGCAGCAATACTGTTGCTACACTGTTGAAATATTCCATCCAAAAGGCTGAGTGGGTGGACTTCTATTGCTGCTCTTGGCTTTGAGGTGGCTTTGAAAAATGGCTTTTCTTTTGTTTGGCTTTGTTTCTTTACATTCAGACAATAGCATTGCAAGTGGACAATGTTCAACACTGTTTCTGGGAGTGCACAGATAATAGCTAACAAATGGTCTCTTCTTCCAATAATGTGAGGTTATAAAGTGGTAACATGGAGGAATGTTGATGCCTGGTGGGAAACTAAAGTGTCAGTTAAATATGTTTAATTTTGAAGGGGGACCCTGAAGATGTACTTGAAGTGCCAATACCTGAATCCATAAGTGGCAGCGTTTCAGTTGGAAGTCTGAGTATTGCTTTGCAAGATGATGACAGAAATGAGGTCAGCGAATTGTCAGCTTCCTCCACCAATGAATCTGTATTGCAGTGTACCAGTTTAAAAGAGGACGCAGGTGAAACCACAGCATTGCTTGGTAAGTCACTTATTTTATTGTTGGACAATCCTTAACACCATACACTGCATTAGAAGCTCTTCTCTAACTGGTGTTAATATTGTTAGTATTATGGTGCAGACCAGACTGAGAGGTGTCACTTACTACTGGTGTTCAAAAAGTACAAGTTAGGTAGATTTTCGTAGAATTCAATCAAGCTTGAGAAAACTGGACATGGGTAAACAGGAGATGTAAATAGGAGGATTGCTTACCCAGAGAATGTTGACAACTTGAGGTATGTATGAATATGTAATTTGTTGCCAGAGTCTGGATTAATGTAATAGATAAAGCATATTAAAATGGTAAATCAACAAACAATTTTCCTTTTAATTCCTAATTTTTAGATGTGGATGTCAGTAATAACCGGCATGGAGAACATCTATCTAATGGAAATTCCCACTGAACTGCTTCATGGAAGATATCTTGAATAGACTGTTGAAGAACTATTATTTTTTATTTAATTAGTATGAACTGTTGTCTAGTGAACAGAAAAAATAACAATGTAAATTATTTTACCTTTCAAACTTTTCTAGCTGGTGTTCCAAAAGGGCTAATAACTAAGAATTTTCTACGCAGGAGGATTTTATAAAATCTCCTCTGGATGTCTCATCCTAAAAAAAAAGATGCAATAACCCTTTTTCTGTAAGCATTGTTGCAATGTCATTGTGTTCCAGAGGGCTGTAACAAAGATGAAGACTAGGCAGTGAAAACAATGTAGAATGTGTAACGGTGAAATATATTGGATACACTATTTACATTCAGTATGTACATATGGAGAACACTTACAAGACTACAACTGTTAAAATGTTCTGAAAGTTCTGATCTGTTGTAATTGGAGACAGATACTCTTAGAAAAAACATGAACTAACCTTGAAGGAGTCAAATAACTTCATGGATATGTTGTGTACTCTTTTTTTGTGAAGGAAAAATTGCTAGTTGCAACTTTCCTTATATGTAACAAATACTAATTTGATCTTGTAATGTGTTCTACTCAGAGTGGATGCTAAGAAAAGGAGACTTTCTCCATCTTGCAAGCTTTTTATACTGAATTTGGCAGTAGTAGGTTGTGCTAGGTGGTCTTCACGTGCTGAGCATGTAGACTTGTTTAGGTATATGCACATTGGTTACCTCTTTCAGTCTTAAACTCAGTAGAACAGAGGTAAAGGGCTAATTATGGCTAAGATATATTTATTAGTCTATTTATAAGAATTTACTTAATTCCTTCTTGCTCCTGTTCCCATCCTGATCCACTTTATGTACAAATTGAAACTGTTTCTTAAGAAATACAAAGTTTGGGTTTGTTTTGTTTTGCTTTTTCTTTTTCTTTGCATAGAGATGCTGGAATTCTTCTCTTGGATATTCCACATTAGGAGTTTTTACTGGGTTTGCCATTAGCTTTTATTCCTTTCTGTTAGATTAGCAGTATTGTGCCTTATAGTAAAACACTTAAGAAATCTGAAGCATCTGAGAGTAAATATAAACCCTGGCATCTCCCATTATGACCTCTTATTCAAATATTTATATACTGTAAGTGGTATAAGGAATTGCTAAACGGTTTTGTAAAGAAATATGTATATTTAAAACACTACTTAAGTAGAGTGTTGAGTTGTTTAGGATTTTAGCAGTCATGTTATAATATGCTACATTCCTTGATTTTCTTTTGTATAGCTCTTGCTACAGGTTGCTTAAAACAGTGTCTTTTACTAGACATTTGTTTTAGAGTGCATTTTTGTTTTTAAAATGTATATTTGGAATGTTTTTAAGAAAATATGCAATTCTTTTTCTAACTTATATTGAGCTTCAGTAGAAGCAATAACTTTTTTTTAATTTTAGAATGAATGTTCCAGAAATGACAGAGGCTTCAGATGAGGAAATACAATCTGAACTTCTACTTTGCAGAGCAGATGTTTCACCCTAGATTTCCTTCAAAAAATTCCTCTTAATGCCTACTTAAAAAAAAAAAGAATAAAAATTGCCTCTTCCCTGTAGGAGTGTAACTTTTAGGTTTACTGGAAAACTGTCAGGTTGTAGTTCTAATGTCACCAGCAGGTGCAAGTTTTTGTGATGCCTTTATCTTACAAGAAGCACATGAGAATGGAATATGACTGACTCACCATCTCCAAAACTGAACAAATAAAAAAACAACCCATAACTAAACCAAGCAATGTATAGGGACGTTTATGTCTCCAAAAGAATTTTATCAACATTTCCGGAACTGCCTTTTTAACTATCTCTTCAATTTTAAAAACTTAAGTCTTCTCCCTCTTCTTTAACACAAAACTGAACATTGATGTAGTGTATGTTGAGAGTATTTAAACTCTAGCTCAAGGAGGAACCAAAAGAGAAGTTATCAAGAGAAGTGTTGTCAGTCTGTGGATTGTGTCTTGCTGATAACTACAGCACAGTATTCATTCTGGAGAGAAGAAATGTGGTAAGTAGTTAAGCCTTTATGTAATACCTATAAAACCAAAAGCTTTTTTTAAGAATCAAATCTGAGAACTGAGGGAGAAAAGCTAAAGGACCTGCAAACTGAAGAGAGTTTTTATAAAATCTGAACTGTGCTGATTTAGAAAAACACCCAAGTATGAAGAGTCCTGGGGTGTGTTTCTGATGCTGGAACCGTACCTGTTTCACTTCAACCTTTCAGGAGAGTAGTTACAGTTGTTTCTATCAAATTGGTTTGTGTGTAGTTGATCTTTGATACACTTGGGTCTTGTAAGGCCAGCTATGCTGCTGAGGAATGATGACAATAAAAGGCCGAATTGCAGTGCCTCCAGCAAGCAGTTTGCTCTCCTTGGAAGCACAATGACAAAAATCACCTGAAGCGAATCATTAGTCTGACCTCAGTCAAAAAGCTGACATCCATTAGCAAAAAGAGAGGTAGGATAAAAAGTGTAGGGCAGGAAAGAGACAATCTAGGGAGTTTAAAACAGTAGCAAGAGAAGATTAGAAACATGAAGCATATGAGCTGCTGTTATAGCTCATCTGAAACACTTAAACAGGTGTAGGCAGCTGAAGGTAAGTACAGGTTCACAAACTTTGCTGATCTGGACCCCCACTGTGTTGGATCAAACTGGTGTTTTGAGTTTCTAGCACTTTACCTACCAAAAGCCTATATGCAGGTCAGAACTAGAGTCTTTTTTTCATCCTTCTCCATGAATGCTTTTTGTAGGCCAGGTGCTTTCTGGCTCCCTTCCCTACCATTTGGGGAATCTATATTCTGCCTCTTGGGCTTAGGCTGTGTCTTGCCTAGTGTGGGAGCTGATGCTGTGTGTGTTGTGGGTTCCTGCAGCCTGCCTGTGCCCTGATCTCTTTCTCTTCTAGCTGCACATTTTTCATAAACCATTTGGGAACTTGTCTTGGAGACATCTGTCCCTTTGTCAGACTTTGCTGTAATCGGGCAGAGGATTTCTTATTAGAGGTATTCATGTGGTATGATTATACAAAAAGCTAAAGCCCGGTGCCCACATGAGGTCTGAAGCCCCTCAATGGCGATGCTGAATAAATTATTTGGGAAAAATCCCTAGCAGGAATAGGGGATGCTGTTTGTTTTGGGATAAGTTTTATTAGTGTTGTGTTAATTGATATGGCTTTGTCGGTTCTGGTGGCTTTGTTAGGGAGAAAATTTGTGAAGTTAAGTGATTGTTTTTGTTGGTTGTTTTTAAAGGAGCTATGAACATGTCAAAATAAGCTGGTGTCTTAAAGTAAAACTAGAGACCCCTCTTTGTTCAGAAATTTTAGTTTATTAATAATAGTCTACCAATGGCAAATTGTAAAGAAAATTATAGGAAATAACCATTTAAACTGGCTTTCAGCAAGCAAAAATGAACTACAGACATTTCAGATCTGAAAGTGTGTTAATAGTGATTTTTATTGCTTCCAGTACCAATTTAAAATTGGATTTTGTTTTACTAATGACCCCTCAAGTGGATTCTTCTTTGGCTCTAGGCAATGCTTAGAGGAGATTCTTTGCATGTACTGGAGAGGTTTGACATGATATCAGTAACTCCTTTCCCCTGCCCCTCACCCCTACCTCAGATCTGAATGTAATCCAGTAACCTGTTGCCAGTAATTAGGACTAGTTTCTGGAGGTATGCCAGAGGAGTTGTAGGATAATTTAACTCCACTGAGAATGTTTTTAATCCATGCTGATTTAATAAATTGTGCCCCAGTCTATTCCTGCCAAAGCTGGGCCATTAGACTTTGGGAATTCCAGTCCTGTGCAGGGTGTAATTGGCACAGAGAAATGCCATTGCAACAACTTTGTCAAATGTGCAAGCTGACTTTTTAATTACTTACTGGTTTGGGAATGGTCATTCAGTTTTTCTACCTGTCCTCTAAGCTTTCTCTAAGACCAGCCAGCTGTAGTTGTGCAGAGGGGAGTCCAGCAAGGGTGCAGTGCTGGTTCCCAATATCCTAAGCCGTGTGGGTGAGACAGAGGCAGTGGCAGTGGCACTTGCAGGCTTTCATGAGGTCGATGAGAAGCAAAAGGTGTTGGTTTCACATTCCAGTGACAACAGAACACAATAGGTTGGACTGATAATTTAGCTGTTTCATAAAAGCAGACTTCTCTCTAGACAAGTGTAGTAGACATTCAAGTACTGTTAGCAACACCAACTGTACTTTGAAGTACACACCAGTAGGTTAAGGACTTTAGTCTGAATTTGTGGAATATTTTTTCAGTTACTGCCACAACATGTAATAAAACTATGTCTTTTGTTACACATCAACATCTCCTATCTGGGAACTGTTGCTCAGCACAGCCTTTAGCACCATGAACCGAAACAATAATACTGATAATGTAATAGGTTGGGTTTGAGGGGGGTGTGTTAGCTTTTTGGAGTTTGTTTTGTTTGGGGTTTTTTGGGGGGAAAGGTCTGGGGGTTTTTGTTTGTTTGGGTTTTTTTTAAATGGAGAGGTTTCATATATAGTTTTCACTGGTTTGGTTTACAGCACTTGGCACTGAATGTAGTGTTTCTGTGCTGGATGAGGATACTGAGATCAGTAAGAATGTACTGACTGTGCAGCTTTACAAAGAGGGGTGGAACTGAAATCTAATATTAGAGGAGTGAGCTGAAGTATCTCCTGAGGTTAACCTGGAGGGAATGGAGTTGTTGGTGTTGACTGCTGGGTGCAAGATTGTGTTGGCAACTTGACTGTTCTGTTGTGTGTCTCCCTTCAGTCACCAGTCTCGGTGAGACTTCACACAAAGGCTTGGACTGATGTAAGAGCTTGCTGTTGCAAGAAGAAATGAGTGGTCCTTTCTGGTTTTCCTTTTCTGTTTTTAATTTTGCTGTGTCTCACATTTAGATTAAGCTGAATTAGTTCATTAAATACTCTTTAACTGGCAGAAAACTAAATCTGTCAAGGCAGATTGTATTTTGACAAGCTAAAAAACTGAATACTTAGTGTGCACTTAACTGAGTTTTAGAGCTGGGCTAAAGGGAGGAGGAGTTGGGGTGGAAGAGGGGAGAGAGGGGCTCCCCTTGGGTAAGTTGAAGAGATGCAGTTTTGTAATAGGGCCATGGTAAATTACAGTTGAATATGGCAACACCAATTTTTTAAATGGGAATGCTTTTAAAAAATTGTAGCATGTATATGAGACTGGTCTTTACTGGGTGTATTCTTTTCTCTCACAGGTGATATGTGAAGATTTGGGAATTGGAACTGTAGATTAAACATGCACAAATCAAGCTGAAGGCTTTTGTTTTTTTTCAGTATGGGTCCTGATCTCTCTCCTCAGCTATCCTGCTGTATTGCAAAACTTGATTTGAGAAAGTTTTACAAGTAGAATGTCTCTATAATTGCATGTGTTTGTGTGAAGAGTGCATTGCCTGGGACTGTCCATTATACTTTCATTGGACCTGAAGCTGCTTTTCACTGTCTCAAACATGGTAATAATTACTGCATTTTAAAATGAGCATATCCTTAATTCAGAAGAGGAAAATAATTTGAGTTTTCATAATTTTGTTAGTCTGAAGCTTAGGTCCAAAACTTTGAAGTCACTTACTTCTATTATAAACATACCTGCAGAGAACCATTTGAATTTGCTAGTCTGTCAGCTATTCACAACCGACTGTCTTTTACTGTAACCTTGTGCTGATTCGGTTGCATTGTTTGGATTAAGCACTTGTGTCTTTTCCATTGTGTATGTACAATTGTAAGAATGTCAAGTTATGCATTGTTGTTGTAACTTAATGGCTAAAAGCTCAAATTCCTTAATAAATTATATTAAGACCTTTTAAAAAGCAATGTCTGAAAAGCTTGAGGGGGTTTTCTGTAATACACTGAGAGATTCAGCACTAGCACAGCACAAAACAAGCTTAACTTCATGGTAGGTATCTAAGGGGAACATCCCTTCAGCATGTGCCACTTTACCCCTGTAACCAATACTTGGGGGGGGTGGGTTAACCTTGGCTGGCTGCTGTCCTGTTGAGGAGGGAGAAAGTAACATGGAAGAGCTCATGGGTCAAGATAAGAAAGTTACCAGCTACCATCACAGGCAAAACAGACTTAAACAGATGAAGATTACTTTTAAGTGGCAGTAAATTAGTTTTAGAGTAGGATAGTGAGAAACAGAAAATTAAAACTATCCTTCTTGCTAGACTAGACTCCTTCCTCACTCTTCTCCCTTTCATGAGAGTGGTAGCAGGGGGATGGGGAGGGGTGTGATCAGCCTGTAACAGTTGGTCTCTGCTGTCCCCTGGTCACCCTTTTCCCCTGCTCCATCATGACCACCCTGTTAGGGGCTGCATTTCTTAAACAATTGCTCCAGTGTGGATCCTCTCCATAAGGTATAGACCACTGCTGGGTTATCTCAGAGCTGGCACCAGCCTGGCTGAAGGGCTTGGCTGTGCCAGCTAGTCCAACCTGCTTCTCGCACAGGGCAGCCTTGGCCTCTCTTAAAACATTAGGATACAAGTTTAGAGCACAAGTTAACTGTTGCTGCTAAAAATACCTCATAGCAAATGTCTTGCCTCTTAGAAGGAATGTCTACAATTGGAACAGACCTTAAATAAGTGTTACATTAGTTGAGTTGATACATCCTAACTCTGGGAAGCTACACAAGTCTATCCCCTAATGAGGAGAGAATACTTCTCACATGACTTCTTACCATAAGCTTATGCTGTGTGAGATGAGCAATCAATGGGATTTTCAATACAAGCAATTCTGCAATTTAAATTATTTGGAAAGAGGAAGCCAAAAGCCAGTCTTAACCTTGCATTACTGATCTTGTACTTCCTAAAAATTTAAAACAGCTTTCATTTATCAATCAGCATTAATTGGAACTAGCCAGCTTTTCAAGTTATTTTCTTTTTCAGTCTCAAGTCTTGAATAACAGCAGCTATTCTACTATCAGCTTAAAGTAATAGTTACGCAGACTCCTTCCCCAGTTTCCCCAAAACCAGGCATTTAATGTGTGAATGATACTATCCCTCTGTGCTTTGGAAGGAAGACACTATTTTAACTATGGCAACCACAGAGCAACTGCCTATGCAAGTTTGGAAGTGAGAAGAGGCTCATGCCTTGGATTTTTATGGAAGCAATGGCACCATCTTTCCTCTGTGAAATTTTCTTAGAAGCGTGAAATAGGTGTGGTATTTCAGCTAGTGATGGCATGATTCTGGAAATATTCAGTGATTTTGAAAAGAGAGAGTACTACTCTGAGCCTACAGCACCCAACACTTCATTTCTGCCATGTAACAATAAGCAGTTTCTAGACATGAAGACAGACTTTCCCTTACTCACTGAAATGGTCACGCATTTTTAGGAGTTGTATCCAGCTCCAAAGAGGTCTTACATAGTGAACAAAGGGCAAAACAAGGAAGTTACTTACCTTGATACAAGCTGACTTTAGTTATACACAAAGAGTTTTGGACACAAAACTGTGAGTGGCAGATTAATACTTAAATACTTAAGTTTATATTCTCTCTAGAATCAGAGCCTGAATCTCAGGACATATATACAGCATACAAAGTTTAACCAGTCAAAAACAGAGTAAGGCCTAAAACATTTCACAAACTTAAACAGCTTTATCAGAAAAATCCTTATTTATTGTTTAAATGCATAAAATGCTATTTATAATGTATTACATAATCCAGGGATTTAAGTTTAAAATAGACAATTAATTGGTATAGAATGCTGGCACAGAGGTTTTTTTGCCAGTGACAGTCACTTTATTTTGACGTTTTCATTTCTGATGGATTTTCCCCCGTGTCTAGTGTCTTCAGCAATCTGAAGAGTCCAGCTGCTTCTCGTATCCGACTGAACTCAATACAGAATGCTTGCACTTCTATAAACAAGTCCTGTACATTAATAATTTTGTTTCTGATTAAAGACTGAAGAAAGACACAAACAAGACGTACCAGGCGGTTCTGAAACAAAAGAGACATGGTTTCATAATCCAAATAAATGTCTGCAGCCACGTCAGTTAAAGGATGTCTGGCCCTCGGCAGTGCAAGTGAGGCATTTCAGGAGCAGTTCAGCTTCATCAGCTATCTGGTACAGCTTTTTCAATTAATAAACTGAATCCTCTGCTTTATAGATCTGTACTTCTGGATACGGGAGCTTTCTCAAGATTAATCCCATGTACAGATGAAGCACCAGATCCACCTATGCACTGTACTTAATTTGTTATGTAATCTCTGAATAAAGGCAGAGAGAAGGGATAATAGCTTAAGATGATGTCATCATTTGGGTCTTGCTTAGTCTTACTTTCTACAATAAAACCACAAAGAAACATGAACAAACTTCACATCTCAAAATTTCCATCACCACATTATCAAGGCACTCCAGATGGGAAGTGACAGCAACAGAACTGATTCCAAACTTCCTTCATGGAAAGTGCTCTGCTGCTGAATTAGCAGATGACCCTCTTACTCTGTCTTAGAAGGAAAGACAGTTCCAGGGACACCTAATCCAAGAATATGCCTCAGAGCTCATGGTTCATTTCCTGCCTGATTCAGTGAAAAAGAGGGGATCTTGGAAGTGTTCCTCCTTCTTAAGAGTTGCTTAGAAGAGCATGCTGGGAGTTGGGAAGTGGAGGCCTAGGAACCGGCACCCACAATTTGTCATACATAGATCCAGTTACTACTCTCTGCTTTACACAGAGCACATCCCAAGGACCAAAGCAGATCTTTATCATTAAAGTGGTCTCATTCTTCATATTGTGAGAAAGAGCTGAACACAAACCTTTCCCTAAAAGCAACTATATACATGAAGGATGTTTATCAGACAGAAATGAGGGGCTTGATAGATTAAGTGTCCAAAGCATTTCAGATTATTTTACACTAAATGTAAGTTATCAGCTATTTTTTTCAGGAACTGAGTTTACTACTGCAAAATTTACTACCTATAACAAGAGAATTCAGAAACTGAGTAACTGATTTCCTTCACTGAAATCAAAAGGCATCGTGCTTTCTCTGCAATACAAGTTAGTTACAAGAGTAACTTTAATAACTGAGGAACATGAAACTCGGAGCAAAAGAACAAATGCAAGATACTGGCTGATTCCCAGTCTGTGAGGATCATTTCCAATAGCAGTTTTGTACCATGCTTTTCAAACAAAACATGAGTCTATGAGAGCTTATACACATTTAAAAAAAGTTAGATCTCCCAAGCTCTGCCTGCTACTTAGGGATCAGTATGTGTTCCCTGACCCTCTGTTCTTTTGTCCTGTGTGTGCCTGAAGCACAGCTCCTACATGGTCTCTTTGAGCACGAGCCCCTTTGAGCCCAGTGTCCCACTCTAGGCATATTCTCAGCTGCAGTCCAAGTCTGCTGCGGTTTTCCTGCTCCACTACCAAATATAATATAGGCACAGCTGCTATTCAGCAGGTCACAGGTCAAGTCACTCATGTATCTGCCAGAGTCCCAAAGCAGAGAAGCATCAGAAGCCACCAGAAGATAACAAATGGTTAGTCACCATCTGGAAGGGTGCCGAGAACAAGACAGAAGGAGGGTTGCTGCTATCTCAAACCCCACCACAACCCTACCGTCTGTATCATGCACAATTTTCATCTCTGTCACTTAAGGATATAGTAGAGCTGGAGAAAGGACACCAAAAAAGCTTAAGGAACAGCTGCCTTGTTGCAAGAGGCTGCAGTTCTTCAGTATTGAGAGGAAAAAGCTGAGGCAGGACTTGGTCAAGATTCACAAAGCCTTGGGTAAACTGAACATGGAACTATTTTCCACTGATGACGTACCCAAGAAAACAAGTTTGACTGGGCACTTGGTGAAACCAACAGATCAGGAGAGAAGGAAATACCTCAAACAGCACACAGACAACCCTGCATGCTGAAGGTGTGGAAACCTCATGTTTCCCCTGATCCTCCCCAGTCAGGGATCCTTGAAGTGGCTGTAACTTGCATGCTGGTACTGAAGAAGTATGACAGGCTCGTGAAGCAGAGTATGGTATTAGGAAGACAAAGGACTTGCAGGCTGTTATAGGTCATGACTGAAAAGCGAAACTTCCATGGGAGTTTTGTAACATTCACCTCAGAGGTCTGGAAGTGTTGGGCACACTTGTATAGAAAAGAAGCTTGAAGCTTAAAATTATGCAGAAGGCAAACTAATACTGCGGTGAAAAAAAGGCTGAGTGACAGATAACCCTTTTGGATGTAAGGACCCCAGTCACATAAAACTGCAGTTTTGCCAGGAAGAAATATATGATGTCTACAGAAAAACAGGGAACAGTAATTACCGGTGAAGTCTTATAAAATAGTGAAGAACCATCTGTTAAACACTATGTTAACTGTGTTAGGAAAAAAACGTGCCTTTGAAATAAAGAAACAGTAAGACAGAGTAATTTAATGCTTATCAGCCATATAAAAATCACAGCACATATTAAACACAGCAATATATGGGACACTTTTTTCAAACCAATTTATTCAAGTACTCACCTGCATATATTTGTCTTTAATCTGTTCACAGGTGGAGATACAATTGGAGATATAAAGATGAATAAATTCAGGTGGGAGATCAACTGCAGTAGTAAGCCTGTTCAAATAAAAAATATCCAGTGGTTTATGAAACCATAATTCTAGTGATTCTGTTGCAAAACAAGTAAGTTAGACTTGTGATATTAATTTATCTCCCATTCTGTCATACAGAACTGATTTTTGACAGCTTCCACAGACATTTCTACTTATTTAGATTTCTTCATTAAGAGTCCAAAACATTTTATTTTAGCTCTGACACAATACAGAAGCTGAGTTAGACTGGTTTCTAGTATATCTGACACACCTACAAACATTACACAAATGAGTCAGTGACATGAGTTTCCAATTTACAATGAGGCCCTCTAGCTGTCTGAGTACCAAGGTTCTTTGCAATAAGCACTGCAATACCATTTTGCTTATTCATATTTGAATTTCACGTACTGATTCGAGATGCTGAAATCCTTCCTTACATATACAACTGGAATAACTCCTTTGTTTCTGCAAAATTATCAGTTCCTTAGTTCCTTCAGCTGTAAGTTTGGAGCAAAATGAATCTCTATGGTTCAACTACAAGACCCTGACTAGAGGAAAAGGTTAACTAGAGATTGATGATGCACAATAACCTCAGAAGCTTCTTACTACAGAAGAATTGGAGAACTACTGCATCAAAGAATGGCACTGGTGTATTTTTAAGGGTTAGCAGCAAAGCACACCTATTTGTGTTTTAACAATACTGCTACCAGTGTATTTGAGTTGCCACTGTTTCTTAATTGAAAGAGCAGTACAGCTCTCATCAGATAACAACATACACTAAATGTAGAACTGCCTAAGGTTACAACAGAACTTGACCCAAGTAAATCCAATCAGTCCTATCTCAAGTAGTGAAAGGGGGACAAGAGGGAAAAAGGTGAATGTTTTAGTTTCAAGTGCAGTTTTAATTTTTTGTCTTATTTCACTTAAAAATCAGTGTCTCCCTGTTTGCACTGAGTCATTTGTCTGATGATAGAAATTGTTCCTATGGTAGCTGTGCTGTGGGAAAACCAGCATGCCTGGTGGTGTAGCTATCCTGGACATTCAGGGCAGTCACTGCTGTCAGTCTGCAACAGTAGGGAGGGATTTATTTCAGCTATGTTTCTTTACTCGAATGATATTTAAGTGCAGTTTGACCCTGCTGCAAAAAAGACTGCTGAAGGAGGCCGATTTGGTAGTTCACATTCAGTAATTGCTATTCAGAAATGGAAGAAAGTAAGACAGATGTACTTCTGTAGTTTGTGGGGATTAGCTGTCTGAGAAGTTTCCTATTTAAGGGGCTAGCATTCTGTTAAGAAAATGGCTTGTATCAATATGCAGAAGTTATTCTCAATGAAAACAGGGCATGAACCTACAGCAGGGCCACTATTTAACAATAACACCTTTTGTTCACTTAAGCTGCATCAAGAATGCAAATTGGGATTAAGCAGATTAGCCACATGGAATTAACTGTTTGCGGAGGATTCTCACAATAGCTGCCCTTTGTCCCACTGTACTCTTCTATCTCCCACACAGGCATGCCTCAAGAAGGATCAAAATGAACATTTCCAGATGTCCTAATAAAACACAACTGCTCCCTCAGTTGGAAGAAAAGACGGAAGCTAGAGACGGGGCTAAGCTTTTAGGTATGAGAAAAGAACACGAATTCGTGCGACCCGTTATGGGAGCTATCAGTCACTACAGTTCAAACACAAACACATTCATTCACTGATCATTTTGCAAGTCAGGAACTAAACCTGCAGCTTCCTGGGACATAGGACATCTACTTGCTAAGGAAATTTATACATTATGCAGAACCTGAGGTCTGACAAAAACATTCAGACATATTATAGATTGCAGTGACAGACTCCATAAGTGGCACCATTTTAAATAACTGTTTTGAGCTCAATGTATCAGTTTGATAAAATAATCTTCTAGCAGTTATCCAGTCCAGCTGAAGTTAAGCAAAACAGGACATGTATTTCCCTATTCTTATCAAAGTAGAAACACTTTGCTAATTTTAGAGAGTAATGCAGTGTTTTCTAAAGAAAATAAGCCTCTCCATTCTTGGAGCAGGGATTGAAAGATTAACTAGTAAAGCACCTGTGCAAGAAATCATCTTTTTACCATACCTAATATGGTATGTTATGAATAATTAACAAAAGTATTTTAATTAAACTACATAAAATTATATATAAATTATATAAAATTATAATTAATATAAAGTGTAATATATACCTCCAATATCACATCTTTCTCCTGGGAATTTGTGAGGGTTTTTTCCTGTTGCAATTTTGCTGCTGCTAATAGGAAGCTGTTAACATTACAGTTATATTTTAAAATAGCAAGGCTGTAAAAAGGAACTTAAAAATTTGCAGTGTTCTCTCAAGTTAGCCCTGAAGATGTTTGAGAGGTTCAATTCTTTAATACCCACCCTCAACTAACTTTATAAACTTAGTCTGGACTAAAATAAGAGGTTTTTTTCTTAAACTACAGGCACCACCAATAAAGAACTACAGGAAAGGAAGTAAAGCCTTTATGAAAGAAACAGCATTAGACAGTCCCATAGTCATAAAAAGCAACAAATCCACAGCACGCTCTTCCTTGCAGGATTAATCAGAGAACACTAAGGCTTATTATTAAAACATTATGGAAAAAAAATCCAACATAAACACCATAAAGAAATTGAAAAGGGAATGACAGTTTGATACTCTTTTCCTACACTGTAATCTGACTAGCTATTTCTTCCATTCCTGTTACTTTTGGGAGTGTTTGGAATGCATCTAAATACAGTCCTGTGGCCTCACAATCACTTAATAACTGTTAATTTATTTGTTTTACATACTTAGCAAAACCTTGTTAGATTTAAGATCGTACTCACCGATTTACAACTTCCATTGAATGTAAGGACATGTCCATGTTGACCAAGACAGAAAAATACTCTGTTATTTGACTAGACTGCATTAGTTTCAGCAACATTTCTATAGCTACCAAAGGATTGTTTTCAACCAGGTCTGGCAATTTGGCAGGAGTGAGACCGATATGGTAAACAAGCTTGGGATCCTTTTCCAATTCTCCAAGGAGCTGTGAAGAGAAAAAAACAACAAAAAAACCCAAAAACTCTTGGTTTGTTTTTCCTCAACTATTCATGCTACTGTTTGAAGAAACTACTATAATACATCTAAGATACAGGAGAATGATAACTCTTTAGATTTAGGCTTCTTGACTGAAAAAATGCCAGAGGTCTACTTTAAAATTTCCATGTACAGGCAACTATGGCCATAAAACCTTTAGTAAGGCATTTAGCAGTCTTTCATCAGTGGATAGTAAAGAACAGGGAAAAAAAAACAACAAAAAAACCACATGAAAAGTTTTAGCCTCCTTTAGTTTCCTGTCCAGCAGAAGAAAATCTCAATTTCAGGTTCACTGTTGTCAGAAAGAGTTCTGCAAATAAGGGTTATTTTATAGTGTCAGCATGATGATTATGAAAAAAAAGCCCACTAAAATCAGGGGTAATATTATAAAATTGAGAAAAAATAAATAATTTGGTTTGGTATTTCTGAAATAATTATTTATCAAAAGCTTCCACAGAAGCATGAACAACTTAGTTATATGAAGATTTTTCCATGCAGAAAAATATCAGTGTTACTTATTGATCAACTGTAACTACATCCAGTCACTGCTATGGAGTTTAAGGATTTCTTCTATAATAATACAAATCCAAGTCAAAATTCTTGGGTTTTTACAATTTGAAGTACTTGGGAGTTTCCTGAATCCAAACAGAGACCATTTAAAGTGCTCAAAGTTTTCTAAAATACACAAGTTAGACAGCTTGTTAGGAAATCATTTTAGACAGCAAAAGTGCATCATACTTGCCTGTGTTTGCTGTGGGGATGTCAAAGGACTTTTAAAAGCTTTTGCCATGATTCTTTTTATCTCCACTCCAGTGCTGTTCTTAACACACATTGATTTATCCCATTGAATTGTGTGATCTGGCTCGATGGGATTTAACCATGCCAATTCATCCTCACATATATGGAGTGGAGGCGGTGGTCGAATAAACTCTGGTCGAAAGTGACCTAAAATGGCAACAAAGTGAAATGTTTTCGTAGGCTGGGGGTATTCAGTTTTATATCAGTACAAAAAGAACCCCCAAAGCCCCTTTGTCTATAAGCCACTGTAACACTGAGAACGGCATTACAATCCTATCTGCCTCCCAGAAAAACATTTATTTATGATTTTTAGTGATACCATTACATCAGTGTGTTTTTCCTCTTGATTCAGATCACGAAGTTACTGATCCCGTGGTTTTTTTCCCCTCACACAGCAACCGCTTCCTTGGGAGGTATTACCAGAAAATGCAGATCTCTGTGCAGGGTCTAAGATCTGTTAGCCAACAGGCGACATGGGGAAGAGCTTGAAGACAGACTCCAAAGTCTGAAAACGCAAACACTATGGAATCTGATCTACAGACAGCCTGATAGTGCAGTTTTGTTCTGCTCCCTTCATCTTAACTCCCGTTTCATACTTCTCAATTCCATTATATTTTATCTGAAGAGTAGAATAACACAGCATGTCACGTTACAGAACCAAAGATGTGAAAGTGCACATACTTTCTATAGGAGGTTTTGGTCCACTCACTAAGGCTTCCGTGATCTGGGAAGCAACAGAGCTGTCAAAACCAGAGTTGGAAGAATCTGGGTCAGGATCGCTGAGAATGCTGGGGAAGCTGGCCTTGCTCTGTGTTGGCAACTCGGACTGGCGTTCTGAAAGAAGAATATTAAACCATAAAATTGAAACAGAGGTGCCTTGAATACTAAAGGTAGTGAGAAACAAGCAGCTTTAAAAAAATAACAAGCTTAAAAAAACCCAAACCAGATAACATCAACATGAAATTTAGTACAGCATCAGGCAGCTAGTAGTGAGAGTATCAGCTGACAGGCAAGGGACCCCGAGGTATGCAGCAAGGATAAAGAAGAAATAGAAATTATCTTAAACTTAGTCTTGGCTCTAGAAAAGGTAGGTAACTGATGTAATCTGCATCCAAAAGCACATTATTAGGTTCCCATAATACTCCTGAAAGAGTTCACATGGTGCATCTAATTTTGTAATCACTTACTCTCAGAGCAGGAAAGTGAGAAATCTACATGGATCTGTTTACAGAAGACAATGGTCATACCAGACCTGAAGTCAGCTATTCAAATTCACCCAACACCTTTCCATGGCATTGCCTAATCTACTTGGGCATTCACTGTCAAACCACAGTCAATGCTCCTGTGGAAAACAATGGAGTTTTAACTGTTGTGCGATTCTAGAGAGATTGTCATTAAAGCAAACCTGAAAGGAGATGAAAGTGTCCCTTTGAAGGCCAAACTATGGAACATAAACAAGCTACATAAAAATAATATTAAGGTTAGTATATACAGCCAAAGACTTGAAGAAAAAGTGGCCAAAAGTGAAAATATCGGGGCTCAATACTTCATTGTCAGGTTTTTAAGTGTTCTTCTGTCACAACCTATCACTCTTCTGTATCTGAAGACTTGATGGCTAATCTTCTATGTACTATTTTGATAGATCATGTTTTCCATTGCTTTGGCAAAAAAACTCCAAAGAACAAAAACCAGAAAAATCCCCACTACAGAAACACCACCTGACACTCCTCCCTCCCAGCCCATTAACGCAGAACACTAAGAAGCAGATTAAGCCTTAAGCAATCTGAAGTCCAAAAATGTTGGTACCACACAAGAAATCCCTTGAAGAAGTTCTACATGAAACTACACACAACTCCTTTTCCTGGTTAATTGAACGTAGTGCTGTCATATTTTGTGTTCCCCAACACTTCTAAGCAAAGTGTGCTTGCTCCTTTCTGTGCAACCACGTTGACACTTCCCAGCTTTCAGATAATGCAAATATTTGCATATATGCTCACCAAAGCAGCACAGCAGGGTATGTTTTTCTGTTAAAGGCAACAACTAGCATACTTTTCAGTTATTTAAACAAAAAAACATTTTAAAGGCAAAGTCCAAATGAGCACATCTTCTTCCCCACATCGCATTGATATAGAAGTGGGATGGCCAGTTTCCAAGCAAGCAGGTCTATTTGCACATACCTAGAGAAAAAAACCCCAATATTTTTTGGTGTTCAAACCGGCTCCTTCTTCCCAACAATATATTTCAGATTAGCTCCAGATGTGACTCATCAGTCAATGTGACCTGAACAATCACATTCCTCCTCACGTTCTCCTGTCAAAGGATAAGCATCACATTGCTTTTCTTTTCAATCTAGCAAAAGTGGATCACTTTCCCACTCTTGAGCTAATGCTGCAAGATGTAACTTTATTATAAACTGATGATATAATTGTAATAAGTAACAGTCAATTTGCCAGGTACAGCTGAAGTACTGGTACAAGACAGCACTGTGACAGCTATGCTTTTTCTCTCACACTAGAAATACTGCAAAGGGTGAAAAGGGATAAAAATCCAGAAAAAACACCCAGAAAATAAAACAAAAACAAACAAAAAACTCCACCCTTAAAAAAAACACCCACAAAGCTTTAGATTAACACCTTTCTATACTTGCAAAATGCTCTCATATTTAAGGTAGTGGCATACATGCTTAAAGAGTTATTGTTAAGGAGGATAAAAGAGTTAAGGTGTAATATCTGCTTGAAGTTTCTCCATGTGCTGGAACAAGGGCTTGAAGACACTACAGCAGAGTTCAAGCTTTTCCATATTTAGGACAGATGAGAGAAAGTGTTTCTCAGGTAACTCACAGTCATGGAACAATTAAGAGTTTCCATTCATAACAGAACCACAGCCACAAACCTTCCTTACCTGCTAATGCCAGCTGAAGCCCACTTATATCCACTGACTGGGCCATGTTCCCCACATCCATTGCAGCAATCTGCCGAGGAGTCTTCTTGAACAGCTCTCTAGGAGGGGCCAACATCAGTTGAGAAAGAAAGAATTTTTCTGGAGGAGTTATGGGAGGTAAGAAGCCTGTGGACACACAGTGGAAAACAATTCCTGGTTTTTAATGCAGGAGCATGAACAGTTTCCAGGTGCTTCTTGTGGAACAAGCAAAACTAAAATGCATACTGATGTATTGTTTAAGGCAAGATCAGTGCAGCTGGAGAGTCTGTGTGCACACATAAAATTGTTACCTACTCAGCTCCTAAAGCAATGCAAAATGCAGCACTACCCTGATCACCGTTATGCACCTTGACATGCAAAATCTGAGGCTAAGTCACTCACACTGGTTTATTCACACACTTTCCAATCCAGACAGTGAGCTACAAAGCATGACCTGACATCGCAATTCACAGAATCAGAGAATGGTTTGGGTCGGATGAGACCTTAAAAGACCACCTTGTTCCAACCCCTCTGACACAGGCAAGGATACCTTCCTCTAGACCAGGTTGCTCAGAACTCCATCCAACCTGGCCTTGGAAACTTCCAGGCATGGGGCATCCACAGCTTCTGGGGGCAACCTTTTCCAGTGTTCTGCCACCCTCACAGTAAAGAATTTTTTACTAATATCTAATGTAAACCTACTCTCAGTTTGAAGCCATTCCCCCTTGTCCTGTCACTACAGGCCCTTGTAAAAAGTCCATCTCTGTTTTTCTTATAGTCTCCCTCCAAGGACTGGAAAGCTGCAATTGGGTGACCCTGAAGCCTTCTCTTCCCCAGGCTGAACAAATCCAATTCTCTCAGCATTTCCTTGTGCCGAGAGATGCTCCATTCTCCTAATTAACTTGGTGGCTCTCCTCCAGACTCACTCCAACAGGTTATTTTTTTTTTAAAAAACGACTTACACAAGGCTGTATTTACTGAAGAGGGGAAAAAGTGCTTCATGTATTTGTCTCTGAGAGGATTGTTTCACAGCTTCAAAGCTGTCAGAAGCCTCTTATCACCTCGGTTTTTGTAAAGGCTTTCTCCACAAAAATTCTGCGTTATCACAGAATCAGTTAGGTTAGAAAAGACCTCTGAGATCGTCAAGTCCAAACCGTGACCAAACACCACCACGACAAGTAGACCATGGAACAAAGTGCCATGTCCAGCCACTCCTTAAACACCTCCAGCGACGGTGACTCTGCCACTTCCCTGGACAGCCTCTTTTAATGTCACATCCCCAACCCCCACCTGACCACAACCTCCTTGCAGGTAGAAGGTGATAAGATCCTCCTCCTCCTCTCCAGGCCAAGCAGCCCCAGCTCCCTCAGAAGACAGACGCAGAGCTCCCCGCGGCCCTCCCCGGGAGGGCCCGGGCGATGGGACACACACACACATACACACGCACCTACCTGAGAGCGGGGTGCGCTCCGCCTCGTCGCCGCCGCCGCGCTCGGGCGCGGGGTTGAGCAGGTGCGCGAAGACGGCGGCGAAGGGGTTGGCGGCGAGCGGCTCGGTGCGGTACATCTCCCACAGCAGGTACAGCGCCGTGAGCCGCTGCGCCGGGCTGGGCAGCAGGTCGGGCTGCTGCAGCAGCAGGACGAGCACCGAGCCCAGCCGGAAGTGCTCGGCCTTGCCGAAGTAGTGGTGGAAGGCGCCGGAGAGCCCCTCGAAGGTGCTGCCGCCCGCCTCCTCCGACACGATGCTCAGCAGGCTCGACAGCTCCTTCGGCGACAGGCTCATCCTGCCGCCCGCCGCCGCCGCCGCCGCCGCCGCCTCGCCCGCCTCCGCTCCCCCCTGCGTGCCGGGCGCGGGGCTCCCGCCGCCCCCGGGCATCCGACCGCCGACCCGGCTCCCTCACCGGGCCCGCCGCCCGCCCTTTCCGGCGCTGCCGTAAAGGCTTCCCGGGGCGTTCCCGTGGCGGCGGCGGCGGCGGCGCGCACCGGGATTGGCCCGCGCGGCCCCGCGCGGGGCGGGGCGGGGCGTGGCGTTGGACAGCGCGGCCCCGCCACGGGCGGGCGCGCGCGCCCCCTGCCGGCCCCCGTTCGGCCCCGCGCGCTCCCGCGGGGGGCCGGCAGGGGGCGCGCGCGCCCGCCCGTGGCGGGGCCCAGAAGAGCTTGGCTTTCCAGTTCGCCATACGGATGTAAGAGGTGGGATTCAGTTTCTGAAGTAAACTGAAAGCTCGTGTTCTTCATACAGATAAAGTAACAGAGGTGATCCCTGATTCGCGTTGCTGATGGGAAGGAAACCCAGATCCCCAAAGGTGTAAAAGGGTAACATATACAGCTGTTATGAAAACGATGGTTCGGGGGAGAAAAAGCAGGGTCTACAGCCAGGTGAGGCATGATCTGAAAGCCTTGTTGATGATAGAGCAGCTACTCACTAGCGGACTGGATCACACTGAGAGGTCTGCTTGCAAGATACACTGCTAGAATAGTAAAGTAGATGGAAGAGGATGCCAGTGGGCTGCCTAACATGGCCAGCATATTCAAAGATTACTTGGAAGTTTAGACCAATTTAGATTTACAACAACTGCAGCATAATAATAATGGCCAGTCTTCGCGAGCGAAGATCCGGGGAAGGTCTTTCCACCTTCCAGCCTGCGCATTGGATTTTTTAGGTGAGACACAGTGTGCGCGGAACTGAGCCCACCCTTTAATCCTAAGGTTCATCTGCCGGGGCCAAGCGAGCTTGGACGGTGGCAGTGAGGTCCTTAGGACGTAGGTGGGTTGCCTTTAAGGGCTAACGAGCCCCACCTGCCCGGGAGTGGCCCTGACCGGGAATCGAACCCGGGTCTCCGCGGTGATAGCGCGGCGCCTTTACCACTGGACAACTGCAGCAAGGACTTTAAGATTTGGGAAGAAGATCAAAGTATTGCAAATTGCCGAGGGAGTAAACTGTGTATGTGTGTGGTAGGGTGCGCTGGAGGACTTGGGAAAGCGTGGACCTTCAGACTGATCAGCAGATTTTCTGTTTCTGATGTGCTGGCAAAAGTTGTATTTGTTCATTTTTGGGATGAAGTTTATGGTTAGAAGTGATCACATCTAAAATTGTGCCTTAAATTGAGAGGTAGTTTGCTGGGTGCTAATCACCCAGCAATCCACCTGAACAAACCTGTGGCGCTTCTGTCCGGGTGGTCTTTTGTGTACAGCCTGCTCCCAGTAACAAGCTCTGCTGAAGACACCAGAGCAAAAAGAAGAAACATGTTTAGAAAGTGAAAGCTGCCTCTTTTCCTGTAAATTTCAGAAACACAAGACACTCTGATGTTGTGCTTACTGGAATAATGTAAGCAGAACTGCAGAAATGGACTTCAGAAAGTTTCCCCAATGACTAAGATAGCAAAAAAGTTGTGTGACTCATATGTGCTCACTAATGCAGCCATCTGAAATTATTTTACCCAAATTAAAAGGTTTCTGGTCGAAACAGGAAAGCTAACGCTTTAGAAGATGGAATACTTTACAGGAAATGGGATGAGTACAAACATTAATTGACAAAGGCAATTTTGAAGTCAGAATGATTTTAAAACAGAGTACCATTTCAGGGCAGGAAAATCCTTCATCTAAGGAAAAGATGGGGGTAAAATACTCTTGGGGTATGAAGTGTACTGCAGAAGAAGGTTTCTGTGACTGCACAGGGCACTGTATTTTGTGGACACATGAGTGTATTGGATATTCTTGGGCTCAAAACGTGTGTAATGAAGAAGCAAGAGTATGTGATATTAGTGCAGACTCAATTAAAATAAGTTCTCAGCCAGATTTGATTTCTGAAATGGATCACATTGCACTTAAGGAGGAGGCCTGGGGCCTCTGCTACCTCAGTGGGTCAGGGGGGTCAGATTCCGGAGGAGATACCTCGCTGCAGCACAGTCTCGTGGTGTAAAGGGAACAGTTTGTTTTAGTCCCTTTGCAGAATGACTCCTCTGGGAGCAGGCTGAGCATATTCCATTTCTTTCAGATGGCTAAAATGGCTACTAAATGGCCAATACAAGCATAAAAATATACCTGTCATTCTTTATGCTTGGGTTTGAATAAGAACCTCAGTAAAAATCATACTTTTGAGTTCCTAAAGAGGGTTGAAGGGATTGGGGCTATACCTAAATTACTGACTCTGAGTCTACTTGTGTACTCTGTCCTGTTGGCTCATAAATGTTCATAGAAATGCAGAGATTCCAGGTTAAAAGTAACAGACAATCTAGTTTGGAAGGTAAGCTTTTGCAAATACAAATACACCTTTACTAATTATTTGACAATTAATATGCTATTGATTTGGTATTTAGAAGAACACCTGCCTCTGATAAATAGTAATTGCTACTGGAAAATTAAATTCACATCCAAGGGAGAACATTGAGATTTCCCGAGCTAAGGGAGAGGCTGTGTCATTTGACCACAGAAGTCGTTTTTCCTTTTTTCCTTATTAAAATTGATTATATTATTGTTTGTTATTGTATTTTAGAACACAAGGAACAGAAGGAACACAAGGAACACAAACTGCATTGCAGGCAAAAGGAAAAAAGGTACTAATGAAGGATCAATACAAAAAGACAACATTTGAAGGGAGAAAAAAGGTGTTAAAAAGATGTATTAAATTGACTTGCTGTGCAGCAAATTTTTGAGTTTCTTCTAGCAAAGAGGCTGAATACCTAGGAAACAACTCCTACCAGCATATTTCTTATTACATCTTTCATTTGGAAAGGACACAGTACGAAGGAATTAAATCACACCTTAAGGGGTAAATTAAAGCACTGCCAGATTGTTCTGTTTATTCTCATGAGAATTCTCTCTCATACACAAATTCCTTTCCACAGTAGTTAAAGTGACCCATCCTGTCTACAGTGTATTTTAAGTAGCAACATATCAGAGAGAGGAAGGAGTAGAAGGATATTGCATGCATTTCTTCATGTGTGTCTTTCTAGTGACAACTGCGTGTTTTTCTTACTAGTTCATCTCTTCAATTCAAAACACAAGATAGGACCACCAATGCAAAAACAGATTTTATTATTCCTAGAGTAATCAACAGTATTGGCATACCAACAATGCCTAAAAGTCTTCCTGAATAACTGTATGAGAACACATCTTCACTTATTAGTCAGCCCTCAAAGCTGCCAAGGCATCTTGGATACAACTTGAAGAGCACTTTAGAAACACCAAAAATGTACTTGCATGAATGGCTTCATAAGTGCTGAACACTTGAAATAAATATGTTTGTTGCTGAATTCTTTAACTACTGTGAGTTTTAGTGATAACTCTGTTTTTTAAGCCAGTACTCACATGGCAGATGCTCACACATGTAAATTAGTATTAGTCCACTCACTTGGTTTCTTGAGTGTTGGACACTTCCAGAAGAGATGGAATTGGCCTGATTTAAATTAATGGTGAATCTCCAGCAGAGTTGTATTGGCACAAAAAGGCATCCAAAAGTATGGCTATTTACACATGTATCTTTGCATAGACCCTTCTTGTGATGAGGAAACCCTTCCTTGATGACTCAGAAACACGTTTTCCTGCAAAAACTATTTGAAGCAAAATAATATTTTCATTTGTCCTTGGTTTTCTGGCTCTTTATTCTGATGGGATTTTTTGTAATTTTAAAATAACTGAGCATATGTTTTGTGTGAAAACATTCCGTCTGTGCATTGCTCGGGAACTCTTCACTATGAACTTTAATTTGAGCACTCAGCATTTTTAATTTGAGCTGTGCAATTGCACATCTGACTTAAATAGAACTATTTCTGTTCCCTGGCTCCATGACTTGATTTGTGCTTTATGGTTCTGTTTTAATCCAAAATCAATTTCAGTTGAATCTTTAGCTATGCAGACAACATTGCAGGAGGAAGTACTTTATGTTTAAGCTGCAAATTTGAAATCCACCTTCTGAAAGAATATTCGGTAATTCTGAGTTGATTCAGGAACTCTTGTCCAGGAAGTGGGAGATTTAGGTTCTCTTTCTTCCTCTGACTACAGGGGTTTAAACTCCAGCACAGGCTGTGGCTATTAGGAGTAGAGGGGACTCTTCATCACCTCTGGCTGAAGTTACCTTGTGTAATTATGGGCATTGAAGATTCAGTGGAAGGGGGAGGGAGCAAAAGCAAAGTCTGATGGTTTTAGTGAGAGTGTGTTTGGTGACATGGAGGATGGTGGGTGGTCTGTGTTCTAGTCCTGCTCCAGGAACAATGCAAACATGGGCTCAGTGGTAATCACATATAAAAGGATACCACTACATCTGTGTAGTGCTAGAAATTTGTTGTCCTTCTTGCCAATTTAAACTTCCAGCCATTGGGGGAGTCTCTTCTTCCCATTCTTTCCCTTTAGAAAGAAAATTTCATAAATTTAGTAAGAAATCTCTCTTAGTGTTATATATATGTGTGTGTGTGTGTATTTGTACGTGTATGTAAGTAGTTACTCATGTATCAACACCCCCTCCATATTTAAATAGTAAATCAAAATTTTCTCATTAGAAATCTATTTCAGATAGGAAAGACGTATGTTAGAGTATCTGATGATGTGACACTTTTTGATAATACATTTGACCTGAAAGATGCTTGGAAAAGCTAATTTATAAATGTGCTTTTAGGACCTAATATAACCTTTTTGTGTAAGAAGGCAAAATGTCAGCAGTATTTTTAGCAGCATCACTAAGCATTGTGGTACTGCAGTCTATATAGACCAGGCAAAGAGAAAACCTCAAACCACAAGGACCCATTTATAAAAGTATCTTTAAAAATATTTGGCAATTTTGTTTTCCTCCAGCAGTGGTTCAGCTCCACTCATTTGTCTGTATCCTGAGTTCTGTGTCTTTGGTTTTCTCATGTTCCCATACATTTCAAATACCCAGTAAGCTTTTTGCAGGGCTTGCTTTCCAGTTGCCTACAAAGTTTCTCTTGTGCCCTACTCT